TCCATATAGGTAACGAAGAAGTAAAACTCTCGTTGTTTGCAGACAACATGATCTTATACATAGAAAACCCCAAAGAATCCATAGAAAAACTATTAGAAATAATCAACAACTACAGCAAAGTAGCAGGGTATAAAATTAACGTGCATAAATCAGTAGCATTTCTATACACTAACAATAAACTAACAGAAAAAGAACTCAAGAACTCTATCCCATTCACAATCGCAACGAAAAGAATAAAATACCTTGGGATAAACTTAACCAAGGAAGTGAAGGATCTATACAATGAAAACTACAAGACTTTCTTGAAAGAAATAGGCGATGACATAAAGAGATGGAAAAACATTCCTTGTACATGGATTGGAAGAATAAACATAGTTAAAATGTCCATACTACCTAAAGCAATATACAGATTCAATGCTATCCCAATCAGAATCCCAAGAACATTCTTCACAGAAATTGAACAAACAATCCTAAAATTCATATGGGGGAACAAAAGACTGCGAATTGCTAAAGCAATCCTGAGCAAGAAAAACAAAGCCGGCGGAATCACAATCCCCGATTTAAAAACATACTACAAAGCTACAGTGATCAAAACAGCTTGGTACTGGTACAAAAACAGGTCCACAGATCAATGGAACAGAATTGAAAGCCCAGAGATAAAACCACACATCTATGGACAGCTAATCTTCGACAAAGGAGCAGAGGGCCTACAATGGAGAAAAGAAAGTCTCTTCAACAAATGGTGCTGGGAAAACTGGACAGCCACATGCAAAAGATTGAAAATTGACCATTCTTTTTCACCACACACCAAAATAAACTCAAAATGGATCAAAGACCTAAAGATTAGGCCTGAGACAATAAGTCTTTTGGAAGAGAATATAGGCAGTACACTCTTTGACATCAGTTTCAAAAGAATCTTTTCGGACACTGCAACTCCTCAGTTGAGGGAAACAATAGAAAGAATTAACAAATGGGACTTCATCAGACTAAAGAGCTTCTTCAAGGCAAGGGAAACCAGAATTGAAACAAAAAAACAGCTCACTAATTGGGAAAAAATATTTACAAGCCACTTATCCGACAAAGGGTTAATCTCCATAATATACAAAGAACTCACACTGCTTAACAACAAAAAAACAAACAACCCGATCAAAAAATGGGCAGAGGACATGAACAGACATTTCTCAAAAGAAGATATGAATATGGCCAATAGACACATGAAAAGATGTTCATCATCGCTAATCATCAGGGAAATGCAAATCAAAACTACACTAAGATATCACCTTACCCCCGTTAGATTGGCAAAAACATCCAAAACCAAGAACGACAAATGTTGGAGAGGTTGTGGAGAAAAAGGAACCCTCATACACTGTTGGTGGGAATGCAAACTGGTACAGCCACTATGGAAAACAGTATGGAGATTTCTCAAAAAGTTAAAAATAGAAATACCCTATGACCCAGCCATCCCATTACTGGGTATCTATCCTAAGAACCTGATAACAGATATCTCAAGAGTCCGTTGCACCCCTATGTTCATCGCAGCATTATTTACAATAGTCAAGACGTGGAACCAGCCTACATGCCCAGAAACCGATGATTGGATAAAGAAGATGTGGTATATATACACAATGGAATACTACTCAGCCATAAAAAAAGACGAAATTGGCCCATTCACAACAACGTGGATGGACCTCGAGGGCATTATGTTAAGCGAAATAAGTCAGTCAGAGAAAGACGAACTCTATATGACTCCACTCATAGGTGGAAGTTAGTATATTGAGAAGGAGATCTGATCGGTGGTTACCAGGGAAAAGGGGGGGTGGGGGGAGGGTACGAAGGGGGAAGTGGTGTACCCACAACATGACTAACAAAAATGTACAACTGAAATCTCACAAGCTTGTAATCTATCATAACATTAATAAAAAAAATATATAAATAAAAAAAAATAAAAAATAAAAAAAAAAAAAGAAACATGGAATAGGGGCTGGCCTGATGGCACAGTGGTTAAATTTGCACATTCCGCTTCTCGGCAGCCCGGGTTTCACTGGTTTGGATCCCGGGTGCGGACATGGCACCGCTTAGCACACCATGCTGTGGTGGGCATCCCACATATAAAGTAGAGGAAGATGGACATGGATGTTAGCTCAGGGCCAGTCTTCCTCAGCAAAAAGAGGAGGACTGGCAGTAGTTAGCTCAGGGCTAATCTTCCTCAAAAAAACAAAAAAAAAGAAACATAGAATAGAAATATTCAAATAGATGGATAAAAGTTTGTTTACAAAGATATTTTTTACTGTATTAGCTAAATGAGTGAAATACTGAAAACAATCTCATAGCTCAACAATAAGGGAGTTGCCAAAATGAGGTAGGCCCATAAAATGGATTGCTGTAAAATCACTAAACGTAATTTTCAAAGATTTTTAAGGATATGGAGAAATGTTCATAAAATAAAATTCAGTGAAGAAGAAAAAAGAAAAAAAAAAAAAAAAGAAGTCATAAGGGCAGAAAGGATGCAAGCACTAGGAAATGAAGTGACTCAGAAAGAAGTAGAAACACTAGTGTATAATCAACTTCAGACCTCAGCGTCAGGCTTTATCAAGCAAATATCCCTGTCTGTCTGGGGTCCTCAGGTGGGGCTTTCAATAACTATATTATTTCCTCGCCAACTTTTCATTTTCAAAAATTTCAAATCTATAAAAAAGGTGAAAGAATAGTGCAATAAATATCCATGTACTCATCACCTAGATTCACCAAGGATTAACATTTTGCCACATCTGCCTTTTCTGTCTCTCTACAAATATGTGCACAAGCACACATTGTATGTGTGGTCGCTGTGAAAATGTGCCACTTGGATCTACGACAAGGAGCATAACTAACTGTGGGCTCCCAGTGCTGCCCTTCTAGATCTACTACCACATTCTCTGAAGGCCCAGCTTCCGGTGGGCTGTTCCCAGCTAAGGAGTGAGCACAGCAGAAGTACCAATGTAGGGCTCTTCCTGCAACACACGGGACTCCTCTAGCAGGTGACTTTGGCTCGAGCACTCCCCATCAGCTTGGCCGAAGCCTTTTGGAACTGTGTAGTCTGAGACACTTCCTACCTGATCCTCCTTCCTTGCCTCTCTCCTTCGTACGTTATAGACCTGTCCTGTGGTCTGAATGCTCTTTCCCACGTCTCTCTTTTCTCCTGTATTCTTCACAGGCATTTCCCCCATTAAATCTCCTATTACATATAACCCCATCTTGGCATTTACTGCTCAGAGGACCCAAAGTAATACCATGTGTGTATGTGTGGGTGGGTGGGCGTTGAACCATGATAGCAAGTTGCAGACATGACACTTCAATCCTAAATACTTCAGCGTGTATTTCCTAAGAATAAGGAATTGTCCTACACAACCAATTACAATGATCACCTTCAGAAAAATTTAAGTCGACACAATATTTCTATCTAATACATATAGCCCATGTTCAAATTTCTGATTTTCCAAATGACGTCCTTTGTAACTTTTCTTTTTGGATCCAGGATCGAGCCAAAGATCATATATTACCTTTAGTTTTCTTATCTCTTTAGAATCCTTTAATATACAACAGTTCCCCAGCCTTTTTCCCCCAAGTCATTCATTTTCCTTACTTTAAATTTTTTTCAATTTATGAAAAGTCCTGGCCAGTTGTTTTGCCAAATGTCTTTCAATTTAGATTTGTCTGGTTGTTTTCTCATTATTAGATTGGGCCCAATATTTTTGCCAGGAATACAACATAGGTAATGTTGTCCTTCTTAGTGCATCACATGAGGAGATCCATAGTGTCAATTTATCCCATTTTGGGGGATGTTAATTTTGATCACTTAATTAAGATATCACTTTTAGTAATTTTAAGATTAGAAGAATGAGTATGGGTACTAATTTAACATAAAGCCAATCTTGAGATTACAAGACAAATGGGCACCAGCTAAAGAGAACATTACTGACTCCAGGAGCAATAATTTATTATAAATCCATTTTCAAAATTTATTTGAGGAGCTTTATATTAACTGTTGGGAGACAATTCTTCACAGGTCTCTCGCATTTCTGCATGTTTTGTTAGGAGAGGCATTAACTGCCTTTGTTCTGGACTATCTTTTCAAAGACGTTTGTATAGTGAACAGCTTAGAAAGACAGAGTCAGGGGCCGGCCCAGTGGCCGAGTGGTTAAGTTCCCACGCTCCGCTTCGGTGGCCCAGGGTTTCACCGGTTCAGATCCTGGGAGCGGACATGGCGCCGCTCATTAGGCCATGCTGAGGCAGTGTCCCACATGCCACAACTAGAAGGACCCACAACTAAAATATATACAACTATGTACTGGGGGGACTTGGGGAGAAAAAAGCAGAGGGAAAAAAAAAAAGATTGGCAACAGTTGTTAGCTCAGGTGCCAATCTTTAAGGAAAAAAAAAAGGAAAGACAGAGTCAGTGTCTCCCTCCTGAGTGAAAGGGAGGTTTGCTTACAAGTCTTGAAGATGCTGTCTCCCCCCAAAGCAAAAAGCAGGCACGCCCATTAGAAAATAGTTGCATTCTCCAAGCACAGGGTTCCACTGCATGTGCAGCTGTCACCCAACTCCCTTTATGTCACCCTGTGGGAATTAGGGCTTGGGGAACCAGCTCAAGAAAATGCTGATATTCTGGCTATTGCTATTTCTGTGACTAATAAAGTCCTGTGTCTCTGACTCAGAGTCTTGTGTCTTCTGCCACAATCCATAAAACTCTGGCAGGCTCACCTGTTAGCTTGAGAGTAAAGTAGAATCTCAGGCCCACACATTCTCAACACTTTCATATTTCCTACAGAAAAGCAAACTTTTCTTCCCTTTTACTATGAAATATCTGAGATCACATTTCAATATTAAATTCCAACTTCCTTTCACCATAATTTATGTGAACATACTAAATAAAAGGTGTACAGTTAACTAAATCTGACACATTCTACTTTTTTAAAAATCATGCTGCTCTATCTTCACTTTACTTTGGCAGTATTTTTTACCTCTACACCTGCAGAGGCATCAAATACAGCCACTGCACCATCCAGCACTCTTAGACAGCGTTCAACCTCCACGGTAAAGTCCACATGACCTAAGAAAAAGACGAGAAATTTAACACTTAAACTCTTTAAAAAAACAAACAAACAAAAAGAACAACCATACAACCCAGCAATCCCACTTTGGGTATATACCCAAAAAAGAATTGAAAGGAGGGTCTCAAAGAGATATCTGCATACCCGTGCTCACAGCAGCACTATTCCACTAATAGCCAAGAGGTGGAAGCGACACAAATGTGCACGGATGGATGAATGGTATATATACAAAATGTGCTATATACTTACAATGGAATACTATGCAACCTTAAAAAGGAAGGAAATCCTGTCACACTACAGCACAGGTGAAACTGGAAGGACTTTATGCTAAGTGAAATAAGCCAGTCACAAAAGGATAAATACAGTATGATTCTACTTATATGAGGTACCTAAAATATTCAATCTCACTGATATAGAGAGTAGAATGGTAGTAACCAGGGGTGGGGGAGGGCACAAAGAAGAGCAGCGGTTTAATGGGTATAGAGTTTCAGGTCTACAAGAAGAAAAGTTCTGGAGATCTGTTTCACAACAACATAAATATATTTAACACCACTGAACTGTACACTCAAAAACGGTTAAGATGGTACATGTTACAATACACATTTTTTACCACAATTTTCAAAAAACACATACACAAACAAAAACCACAAACGATGCAGCTCTGCATTGCTGGAACAGCAACATACCTGGTGTATCAATTAGATTGAGTCTATATCCCTTCCAATCAAATGTAACAGCAGCTGATTGAATAGTAATGCCTCTTTCTCTCTCTTGAGCCATAAAATCTGTCACTGTGTCTCCATCATCAACATCTAACCAGGAAAAAGATGACAGTTAGGCTTAACGGCAAGTGTACTTTACTGGTATTTAACATCTACCTGATACAGTTTAATTTGCTTTAAGAAAAACTGTTCATAAAATATTTGGTTTACGGCCGGCCCCGTGGCTGAATGGTTCAGTGCACATCCTCTGCTTCAGCAGCCAGGGTTTCGCTGGTTCGGATCCTGGGCGCGGACATGGCACTGCTCGTCAGCCCACGTTGTGGCAGCTTCCCACATGCCACAACTAGAAGGACCCACAACTAAAAAATATACAACTACATACTGGGGGCATTTGAGGAGAAAAAGCAGAAAAAGAAAAAAAAAGAAGATTGGCAACAGCTGTTAGCTCAGGTGCCAATCTTAAAAAAAAAAATTTTGCTTTAATATTTAGAGGTCTTAGGGCCAGCCCTGTGGCCAAGTGGTTAAGTTCACAGACTCCACTTTGGCAGCTCAGGATCTCTCTGGTTCGGATCCTGTGCATGGACACAGCACTGCTCACCAGGCCATGCTGAGGTGGCGTCCCACACAGCACAAGCAGAAGGACCTACAACCAGAACATACAACTATGTACTGGTGGGCTTTGAGAAGAAAAAAAAGAAAAGAAGATTGGCAACAGATGTTAGCTCACGTGCCAATCTTAAAAAAAAAAAGAAAAAGGAAAAAAATCCCATTATGGTCATTAAAAAAAAAATTTAGAGCTTTAAATCTTTCTCTACATAAATCCTTCTTCTGGAAAAAGCCTTTGCAGCAAGATTAGTAATTTTTCCATAAGAATAATTTTTCTGTAACAACTAAGATTAAAATCTGTTTAAATACTTTAATTTACTGAGCCACAAAGTTCTTTCATTTTTCCCTAGTTTAACTTGCGTCATCCCTTCTTTATCTGGCCTTCCTCACCCCCGATCTCCTGACAGGAGGCAGAGGAGTGCAACGCAAGAGCACAGACAGATCTGGATTCCAATCCCGACTTGACCACTAACTACTCTACCATCTTGAGCAAGTTACTTAACCTAGCTTGTAAAACAAGGCTAATAAAAGCCCACATTGCTGGGTTGTTATAAAAATGCAATATACATAAATACTTATACATAAATAAATATAGATATTTATACATATAAAATACTTGGCTCAATAAATGATAAGTAAATGGCAGCTAATGGAACAAGGTAGAGAAAAAACTCCTCCAAAGTTAAATTATCCTTTACAAACCCTTCTTGTTATTAAATTTTCCCAAAAAAGGAATTTATTTCTACAAGTGCAAATAAAGTCTTGGTAGACTTTCTACAGTACAAAGTCATGAACAAAGTTCATCCTGGCTAACGAAAAGGTCACTCAAGTTACTCCGTGGTAAAATTCTTAAATTATGCATTTGATTCTGATTAAATTTATACTGTAAAAGAAATGAAAAAGAACTGACCTTTACCATTCAAACTTCAAGAACACAAGTTATTATGGCCTTATACTACCACTCTTCTGTCAGCTTTAAACCTCTAAAATGCTAGCTAGTTTCCTCATATCATGTGTGTGTGTATAAATATACATATATATACGCACCAACAGAGAGGGAAATAGCAAGAAAAATGCATCTGTTAGGAGCCCCAGATATCTATGTTAAAGAATTGTATTTGTGTTGCCAGTTATTCACAACATAACTAACCAAGAACACCAGCATCAATAAAGGAGACAAAGACCATCAACCAAAAGTTCTAAATGAGGCAGTAAGTTTTTAAAACACCCATATGATAGTAAGAGTTTTGACAATGATAAAGATCTTTATTTCCTATTATCCCTTTATCATTACTTCTATGACTAATAAAATCAATCTTGGATCAACAAGTTCTGCCACAATTTGGATAGTTTCTAGGCCTCTGGTCTGAACCAGAAAAAAACTTCAAAAGAAATCTTGCATATATACACAATGGAATAATATTCAGCCTTAAAAAAGAGGGAAATTCTGACACATACCACAACATGGATGCTAAGTGCTAAATTTTTGTGTGTGACACAAAAAGACAAATACTGTATGATTCTGCTTACATAAGGTACCTTGAGTAGTCAAATTCATGGGAAGAGAAGCAGAAGGGCAGTCTGCAGCAGGGGGGCAGAGGGGGAAATGGGGAGTTTGATTAATGGGTATAGAGTTTGGGTTTTGCAAGAGGAAAAGGTTTCTGGAGACTGGTTGCAAACAATGTGAAGATACTTAACTTTACTGAACTGTACACTCAGAAATAGTTAAGATGGTAAATTTTATGTTACACGTTTTTTACCATAATTTAAAAAAAGGTGAGATTGCTGGGAAGATGGCTGCGTAGGAGGACTCTGAACTCACCTCCTCCCACAGACACAACAAATTTACAACTACTCTTGGAACAACTACCCCTGAGAGAGACCTGAAAACTGGATAAAAAGAACCTCCACAACAAGGGACAGAGCTGACTGAGATAGAAAAGGCAGAAACTCCTTTTTGGAGAGGAAAGGCCACATTCTAGCCATGGCACTTCACAGCCCAGAGCAATCTTAAGGTACAAAGCTTTCCCTGGAGCAGTGGGGGATCTGAGCAGTCCAATAAACATCTTTTGGACTCAGCACAACCGAGACGAGTGCCATAACATCTAGTTTTGCTGGCTATTAACTACAACAGGGAAAACCCCCAGAAAAGCTATCGAACATAAGAGAAAGAAAAGCCCGCTCTTAAAGGGCCCACACACAAATTCACCCATTTTGGAAAGCAGCCTAAAATCACCAGAAAGAAAGGTGCACAGTCATTTGGTGAAGAGACTCACTTGATAGGCTCTGGGCGCATCTCAGTGAGAAGTGAGACCTCCCCAGGCTGGGACCACCTCCTCAGGGACTGAGACATTGGCAGCAGCCATTACTGTGACTCAGTACAGGCGTGCTGACACAGATGGTGGCAGATGCCATTGGAGTTCTTCCCCTAGCCTGTTAACGCAGGGGTCTGCCCCACCCACCAGAGCACCAATTTAATCCAGCTCAGCCAGCAGAGGCAGCTTGCTCTAGGGACTGGCCCCATCCAACAGTAAGCCCTCAGGCAACTTGTGGGCCCACATAAGTGGGGTGTGTGGGACCTCTGCCGTGAGGTGAGTGGGTCTGCCTCTGCGGGTCAGGTCATGCACAAGGGGCGGGCCTGCCTTGGTGGAGTGTGTGTGGCCTCTGCAGCGGGGCAAGTGGGTCCACTTCAGGTGGCCCCGGCATGTGCACAGGGCAGGACTGTGTTGATGGGCTGAGCAGACCAGCAGGCAGTGGGGCTTGTCAGCTGCAGCCTTATGATTCCCCAAACAGCCACACAGGGGAACCAGCTATGAAGCTAATATAAGGTCAAAAGACAAAAGTACTAAAATTATCTGTTTCTATGATAAGAGGGTAACAGATACACACAAAAAAGAGGTTAAATATGATACCAAAAACATAAAATGTGGGAGGAGGGGAGTAAAAGAGTAGAGCTTTTAGCAAAAGGTCAAACTTAAGAGACTATCAAGTTAATACATATTGCTATATACGAGGGTTATTTTACATGAACCTCATGTAATCGTGAACCAGAAACCTATAATAAATACACAAAAATTTAAGAGGAAAGAATCCAAATATAACAGTAAAGAAAACCATCAAACCACAAGTGAAGAGAGGAAGAGAAGAAGAAAGGAACAGAGAAGAACTACAAAAACACCCAGAAAAAAAGTAAAAAAATGGTTGTTATAAACCATTATGATCTCAACAAATTAATTGGAAAAAAAGTAACAAAATGGGAATAAGTACATACTTATCAATAGCTACTTTAAATGTCAATGGACTAAAAGTTCCAATCAAAAGGCATGGGGTGGTCGACTGGATTAAAAAACAAGACCCATGTATATGCTGCATACAAGAGACACACTTCAGACCTAAAGACATTCACAAACTGAAAGTGAAGGGATGGAAAAAGATACTCCATGCAAATAGCAATGAAAAGAAAGCTGGGGTAGCAATACTTCTATCAGACAAAACAGACTCTAAAACAAAAACCATAAAAAGAGACAAAGAAGGGCACTTCATAATGATAAAGGGAACAATCCAACAAGAGGCTAAAACACTTGTAAATATCTATGCACCCAACATAGGAGCACTTACATATGTAAAGCAATCATTAACAGTCATGAAAGGAGAAACAGACAGCAACACAATAACAGTAGGGGACTTTAACACTCCACTTACACCAATGAACAGATGATCCAAACAGAAGATCAATAACAAAACATTGGCCTTGTATGACACATTAGACCAGATGGACTTAGTAGATATACACAGAACATTCCATCCTCAAATCACAGAAAATATATTCTTTTCAAATGCACATGGAACATTCTGCAAGACAGATCACATAAAACAAGTCTCAATAAACTTAAGAAGACTGAAATAATACCAAGCATCTTTTCTGACCACAACAGTATGAAACTAGAAATCAACTACAGGAAAAAAATTAGAAAAGCCACAAATATGTGGAGATTAAACAAAATGCTACTGAACAACGACTGACTCAACGAAGAAATCAAAGGAGAAATAAAAAGTGACAAATGAAAATGAAAATACAACATGCCAAAATTTATGGGATACAGCAAAAGTGGTTCTAACAGGGAAATTTACAGAAATACAGGCCTACCTCAATGAACAAGAAAAATCTCAAATAAACAATCTAACAGTGCACCTAAAGGGACCAGAAAAAAACAGAAAGCTCAAAATCAGTAGAAGGAAGGAAATAATAAAAATCAAAGTAGAAATAGATGAAATAGAGACTAAAAAAAAAAAAATCAACAAAACGAAGGCCTAGTTCTTTGAAAAGATAAACAAAATTGACAAACCTTTAGCTAGACTCATCGAGAAAAAAAGAGAGAAGGTTCAAATAAAATCAGAAATGAAAGAGGAGAAACTACAACGGACACCTCAGAAATACAAGATTATAAGAGAATACTATGAAAAGCTATACACCAACAAATTGGGTAATCTAGAAGAAATGGATAAATTCTTAGAATCATACAACCTTCCAAAACTGAATCAAGAAGAAATAGAGAATTTGATAAACCAATAACCAGTATGAAGATTGAAACAGCAATCAAAAATCTCCCAAAAGTAAAAGTCCAGGACCAGACGGCTTCCCTGGTGAATTCTACCAACCATTCAAAGAAAACTTGATACTTATCTTTCTCAAACTTCCAAAGGTTTGAAGAGGAGGAGAAGCTTCCTAACTCATTCTATGAGGCCAACATTACCCTGATACCAAAACCAGACAAGGACAACAGAAAAAAAACAAAAATTAGAGGCCAATATCACTGACGAATATGAATGCAAAAATCCTCAAGAAAACACTAGCAAATCGAATACAACAATACATTAAAAAGAACATACACCATGATTAAGTGGGATTTATTCTAGAGATGCAGGGATGGTTCAACATTTGCAAATCAATCAATGTGATACACCACATTAACAAAATGAAGAATAAAAATCACATGATCATCTCAATAGATGCAGAGAAAGTATTTGACAAGATACAGCATCCATTTATGATACAAACTCTGAATAAAATGAGTATAGAAGGGAAGTAGCACAACATAATAAAGGCCACATATGACAAACCTACAGCTAATATCATACCCAACAGAGAAAAACTGAAAGCTATCCCTCTAAGAACAGGAAGCAGAAAAGGAGAAACACATTTTTCCAAAGAAGATATACAAATGGCCAATAGGTACACGAAAGGATGTTCAACATCATTAACTATCAGGGAAATGCAAATCAAAACTACAATGAAGGGCTGGCCTGGTGGCACAGCGGTTAAGTGCACACGTTCTGCTTCGAGGTCCAGGGTTTGCCGGTTCGGATCCCAGGTGCAGACATGGCACCACTTCGCAAGCCATGCTGTGGTAGGCGTCCCACATATAAAGTAGAGGAACATGGGCAGGGATGTTAGCTCAGGGCCAGTCTTCCTCAGCAAAAAGAGGAGGATTGGCAGCAGTTAGCTCAGTGCTAATCTTCCTCAAAAACAAACAAACAAAAAAAGAATGCTGTAGGAAGAAACACCTACTGCTGGTCTGCTCATAAGCTGTGGTTCCTGCTGGTAGCCTTCTGAGCAGACCAGTGCCAATCGTGGCCCAAGAGAGTCTTATGAGTCTGAATGTTTAGTTGAACCTAAGAAGACCCTTTGGTGAGCGCTGCAACCACCTTATCTTTAAGTTGTGGTTCAGACAGCAATGCCTCCATGCCATACTCAAGATCTCTAGGTTGACTTTCTAATCAAAATATTTTCCAATGATGTTTTTGCTAATGGGGGGGTGGAGAGAGGAGGAATCCATTCTAACCTCCCAGTGATCTTGTGTATCCAGAATAGTACAATATTCTTTCTGTGGTGGTAGTTTTGCCCGCATCAATATGAGCCATAATCCCAATATTACGGATTCTGTTGAAAAGGGGGAAAAACGACACGTATTATAAAGTGGACATTACCAAACTTATAAAACCAAAATATCCATGCTGTGCAAATTTCACAGCTGCTTAGTATTTCAATAATTTACACAATGGTGTAAAAACTAGAAAAATGGTGCCACAACTAGAAGGGCCCACAACTAAAATATACAACCATGCACTGGGGGTGTTTGGGGAGAAAAAGCAGAAAAAAAACAAAAAACAAAGCTAGAAAAATGGAAAACATATCCCTAGCACACTACTCTGATCAGACAGCTATGTAACAAAAGAGATAACCACAATCTTGTAAATATCTTACATTTACTTCTATAAAAAGTGTGCTGTTGGGGCCGGCCTGGTGACACAGTGGTTAAGTTGGCCTGTTCCACTTCGGAAGCACAGGGTTCACAGGTTCAGATCCCGGGTGCGGACCTATACACTGTTTGTCAAGCCATGCTGTGGCAGGCGTCCCACATATGAAGTAGAGGAAGATGGGCATGGATGTTAGCTCAGGGCCAGTCTTCCTCAACAACAATAAAAAAAGAGGAGGATCAGTGGCAGATGTTAACTCAGGGCTGATCTTCCTCAAAAAGAAAAGGTGTGCTGTTGCTACATTAAAAATTTTTAGCATTGAATTGAAAAAAAAATAGCTTTCAAAATACATATGAATATCTATTTATAATTAAGTAGGAGAGAAAGTCACAGAAATTAGAGCATTCATTAACGATGCTGAATTAATAAGCCTGTGAAGGAAACCTGTAACTGTCCACGGCAGCCTACGGAAAGACACCATCTAAGACAGTACTTACTTAGCTGCAGGAGGGCTGAGGACGGAACGGAGGGATTTGATATCATTTCCTATTAAACCTAGTTGAAAGAGAATTAAAATTGAACTGTTAAATTTAAGAAATTTTTCTTTAATTTACAAATGAAACAAAATAATTGTAAGCCAATACTGTAATTCCAATTAAAGTAAAATCCAAGCTAAATAAAACTCTCATTTACCTAAAATTTTCCTGCCATCTCTAAAGAAAAGGCTATGGATGACAATAAAACAAAGAAAAGTTTTTAAATATTAATTTCTAGATCATATACTTAGAAAAATATAGATTTACCCCAAACTCTGCTGTCTTCTACAGTTCTATAATAAATAGAATTGTAGATAGAGAATTAATGTTCATAACAATGATCTTAAGGCATGAGAAGATCTTGAACCAAAGAAAACTGTAAAATGCACATGTAAACCTGCATTTTCCAAGGCTCGAACAGCTAAGAATGATCCTCATATCAGCTGACAATGAATTTTTGTACAATTTGGAACCTACCTTCCCTCACCAATCCCAAAGACACAGTATCTTTAAAGAAGGCCTGGGAGATATCACTGAACAGAAGCTATAATAATCTAATACTCCTAAAAGGAAAGTATCTCTAGAATAAAATAATGACTGACTTCATGCTTACCATCTATTTTATTAATATTAATAAAGCACAATGGAGTTACATTTATAAATTTAATCTATACCTTCCTGCTACTGAAACCAGTTCTCCCAAATTTCTATCATAAATTAAGAAGAGTTCCATTACATTTTGAAAGCTCATGGTTTGAAGATTGAAAGATAATCTGTACTGCGACAGCTAAATATGCATGGGCAAAACACAGAAACCTAGATACACACCAGTAATGCAGGCCACTAAACTCACACGCCCTTACACGTCACACAGCCAGGCAGCCTTTTTACTCCACTATTCTCCCATGACAAAGACGGTAATGAGAACAGTAACTGGATGAACGCAGTTTCATCGAGTCGCCCCACGCTTGCTAACTTCAAACACACAGAGATTCAGAAGTAGGACAGTTAGCTCCTCGGCCTTCCAGCTTCTAACAGGCATATCACCTAAGCTAAACTACCCCAGATGAATGTTTAATAGCCATATTCCCCAACCTAAACTACCCCAGATAAATGTTTAACCAAACTACTCATAAGAACCCTCAAAATAAATTATTCTGGTAAACCTCTATTGACAAAAAATACTTTTATATAAAAACCAGAATGGACTAGGAAAAAAATCAAGATATTACAGCAAGAGCACTCTACAAGTAGACTCACATGCTAATCTTCTGAGCAGCCACTAAAGCCACCAACTCTTCCCTTTGCTCAGCTTATTAGGATGGCCAGCAGATGAGGAGCATAAGTCGACTGACAGTCCCTCCTGGCATCTATCATAATGCTCCCAACTCCTATCTCAATCTCTAGCTCAACAGCCAAGAAGTAAAAAGGAGCCACTGTTTACAAAATGAGTGGAGACCCCTAATAAGGGAGATGTTTGCAATCGAGAGAGAGAGAGAGAGAGAGAGAGAGAGAGAGCGAGCGAGCGAGAGAGATGAGGAAGTGGGGGGAAGAGGGAGGGAAGAGGTGAGGAGAGAAAAGGAGGGCAAGCGGGAGAAGGTGGGTGAGGGAGAAAGGGACGGGGGAGAGGCGGATGAGGGAGGAAGATGGAAAGCAAGCAAGCAAGCAGTTTAAGTAAAATCAGAAAAAGCTAACATTTGTACCTGGAAGGGAACTGTAATTTCTTCCAAGAGGCACATGTGGCTTTAATCTTTTTAAACTTGCTCTTATTTTAGAGCAACACACATTCTAATGAGGAGAAAAAGAAATTTAACATTAATTTTATTTTAGCATGACTTATTACAGTAGTTTTAACATCATAACTATGCTTTGTCAGAGGATAAAATACTTTGAATCTCCTTAAAGTAGTCCCAATTTATTAACTCCAACTCTTTTAGAAAGTGACAACCCCAAATTATGCTACAGGAAAGGATAAGATGAATCCTGATCTGCTATTCTGAGCTGCCCTGAGATGACAGTTCCCCCAGCCCCAAAGCATAAGCTTCCTGGAGAACGTGTCTGAAAGACAGACTCTCAGGCTCCCCCAGACAAGAGGACCAGAAACTCAGGGATGGGGTACGACAATCTGTTTTTTAACAAGCGCTGCAGGTGATTCTGACAGCTACCGTTGAGAACCACGACCTTACATATTCCAGAGTAAGACAGGTTAAATATCGTCTCTTGTCTTGGATGCTCCTTGGTTCTCCTCCATTGCTGCTAACAGCTGGTGGGGGTCATGAACTCCAAAACCATTAGCTGTTTTCAAGATTTATAACAATGGCTACACATTAGAATCACCTGGAAAGCTTTTTAAAAACATTTGTGGGGGGAGAAGTTAGGCGAACCAGAGACTGGCAGTTTAAAAGATCCCCCGGTATCTTCTCCTACTGTTCCCATATAGAGGTTGAATATTCTCCATCCCAATTTATCCCCAGACCGCTAGATACACGTTTAATGGCTGCCAGTATATGTGCAACAGTTAGTTAGTGCATGGAATGATTTTGGGCTGCCACAATCTGCCTTTTATGATATCAGAGAATTCATGCCTGTGCCTTCCATATTATTTCTACATTAGTTACGAAGTTTCCAGCAATAAAACACTATTATCCTAAGAAAATGTTTCCACTCCATAAAGACGAGGGTAAAATAGCATCTACCTGTCACAGGGTGTGTAGTCTGAAAGCATCAGCAATGAAAACACTGACGGAAAACTATGTAACTCCTTGGGCCACTAAGGGCCTCAAAATGGAATAGAGAAATAGATGTTCTTCAAAATGCTGCACAGGTGATTTGAAAGTAGCAAAATGAATTTACAGACTCAAGATAAGGCATGCTTCTTCTTGGTTACAAGAGCCCGTCTCCCATATTCCCTGTTAAAAAACTGCTGACAATAAAGATACTAGCACTAGCACACGAGGCATACTCGGCCTTTTGAGAAGTAAAGTAACTAAAATTGTTGAAGCACATTTGATTTTACAAGAAAGCTTACATTAATGTTCAAGCTGGATATTTTCTTATGATTCACTGCAAATATCCTTGAGCCGGACAGCATCTTGGCCCTCCAAACTGTTATTCTCTAAAAAAGAAAAATACAAAATTTTACAACTAAGTTTACGTATTACATGTCAGTAAGACATATGTAAGTAAGGCATGTGTAATACATGTGGTAAAATTGCACTACTTTTAAAAAGTAGGAACAATACTTTTAGCTATCAAAAATTTAACTCACCATTCAGAAAATAATAATTGTGATTAAACATGAGAAATAGTGTTCTCAAGCTTAAAATGTCCCTTATTTTCTCAACACACTTTAATTCTTCAGGTAAGCTATGAAGATATTATAGAAAAACTTTTATTGAAATTACAAAAATATAACAACCAAATGCATTTTTATGTAAATTTATAGGATTAAGTATAGAAAGGTAAGCATCTACATGTTAACTTGGTCGTTTCTCACCAGTAGTATAACTTTTTGCTTTATCTATATATTCTGACTTTTCTACAATAAATACGTAAAAATAAAATCATGTAGAAAATACACAAAAGCAAATCTTCTTCTATGATTATAGAAACTAAGCATCTTTAGTTTAAAAACATTTACTAAATATTCACTATGTTTCAAGTACACCATCAAAGCCATGAGAAATGCGTGCAAGCACCTGAGATTGGGGGGCAGGGAGACATGTAAACAGGTAAGGGTAAACCACTGTGCACCATGTTATGTAAGAAGCCATGTCAAAACTCATTATTTTTCCTCCTAAATCTGCTCATTTCTGTATCTTGAGACAAAAACATTCACCACCCTCATTTAGGAAGTCACCAAATCCTTTAGATTTTATTTCCTAAATATTTATCTTGAATCCACTCCCTCTTCTTCATTTCCAATGCCAATGTTCAGGATGTCTGCAAAATCATGCACATTAGATCCATAGATCCATTCTAAAATAGAACAACGAACATAATGGAATACAAAAAGCTCACTAATATGGTTTGATTCCACATTGCAACTCACCTTTAAGAAACTACCACTTGTCAAAGCCTGGTATAGTATCTAAGATGGTCCACAATTTTCTGAAAAGACTATTAGTAGTCTCCCCTTTCCCAAACACATATATGTTTGAGGCTGGATTTTCTTCATACACTTCAGCCAAAAATAAATATTTATAAAGTAACATTAAATAGAGAAGCAGATATAAAATACCAGCTGTTTTCTATTAAGCCAGACATTACAGAGACTTGCAAAATCGTAAAACACTCTTGAAAATTATTTTTGCTTTGGAAAAATATAGGTATTTTCCATAACACTGTATTACTTACATTAATATTTAGTGAATTATTATTTCTAAATGAATTACTAAAATATTTTAAAGTTTTGCTTTAATTTCTACTATTTGAGTATCAATTATAACCCACATAAACAAAATTCTTTGGAGTTCTGAATCATTTTAAAGAGTGTGAAGGGTTCATATACACCAAAAGTTTTGAAAACTTATTTCAACACCATGTTTCCCAAAGTGAATGCCCATGATTATTATAGTTTATAAACAAAAAAATTGTTTACTAAATACTAGAAAAAACAGCTGACAAAATCTGAGATTTTGTAGATAGAGTTGCTTAAGAAGAAATTAAATTTATTTACATAAAATGTGAACTAATTTAAGGAAAAATATTAAGTAAATAATAACACGGATGACATTTAGATATGACTGGTCTTAAAAGGTAGTACTCAAATCACTCGAGTGGGAAATGCTGCTCTAATCCATTCTTTACACATAGCCTTCAAATAAACCACCTCATTTTGTCACTTCCTTACTTAAAAACCTTTATAGGTTCTTAATACAACAAATCTGTCCCCAACTAGGGGACATTCACAGCCTCATACTCTCCTATTCCCTACTCTACACTGGGGAACTCTAACCAAAATTCCCCAGACACACGACGCTCTGACACCTTCACACCTTTGCGTGTAACGCTGCCACTACCTGAACAGTCCTAGAGCCCCACAGCTCCACACCTGGCCCATTTCTACTCAATCTTCAAGCCCCAGCTTCGAAGCCTTTCCTAACTTCCTAGAAAATTTTAATACTACCTTTTCTGTGTTTTCGTAACACTTGGAACTTCTATGTACTCATGACAACTATGGTAACAAGTTCTCTCCACTACTGTGAGCTCCCTAAAAGGAAGGCTCCTCTGTCAGCAGTGCCTAACACAATGCCTCAAACATTTTTTTTTTTTTGACTCATAAAGTCATTTATGGCTCTCCACTGACGTTCTTTTTCCTCATGGGTCAATGATCTTTAATGAAAATGATTTCATGCTGGTGCTACCAAGTGGGTTATTCTATAAGGCCCAGAACTCCTCAGGTCCTGGAGAACACACAAGCGCTCACTGCAAGTTCTAACACCTGATTTGTATAAGAAGGGCAGTAATGAGAAAAAACGGGTAAATATCCATTCTACATTATTGGCAACAAGTCATACAACCAATAAACAAAAAGAATCCACAAATTATTTTAAAAAAATCAGTGGACTATCATGCCTGTAAGGCTTACTACACAAAAACAGGAATCATGGGACACTAAAGGACGATCACAAAATACATGAGTATGCAAGCAGAACTGAAGATGATGTCACTGAGGACCAAGTAATGCAGGAAATTAGATTCTAAAGCATCAAGTTAAAATAGTCTGTGTTTGCGGTTGGTATTTGTTAAGCAGGAAGGGGAATCGGGGCAGTTGTAATGGCAAGACAGGAGGTCACCGAAGGCCTCAATAAAACAGCGACACTTAAGCAAAGACCCGAAGTGTGTGAGGGAGGCAATACGAGGGGAAGTGTATTCCAGGAGGAGAGATTACCTGACTTACTGTATCTGAAAATATACAAATGCTAGTAAGAATCAGCTCAGGTTTTAAACAAAATGACAGATCTCATTAGAAGATGGAGCCTTAAAAAGCTGTGTCCAATCTAAGCGCTAAGACTTAGGGGGATGAACATCCCGGCTTTCGCGCGGTTACTTTGGCTCCCATCATAACTAAACCAGGCACCAACCCGTGGGGCAGCTAAGGGAACTCCTGTGACTGGCAGCAAAAGGGGAAACCTGACAGCTCTCTCAATTAGACGTGCTGTCTCGGAGTGACCTCTTCCTTGGTGGCACCAGAGGATCACTACACGCCAGTGCACCCAGCACTCTGCCCAGGACACCGGAGGGCGTCAGGGACTTCAGATCTGGTCCAGAAAACAGAGCGCAGTCTTCCCTTCCACCGGCGGCCGAGGCCCGGGAGCCTCCCTCTCCGGTACCGAGAGCTCTCAGGCCTCCGCATCCTTCTCCGCCGCGCGCCCCACACAGCGACAGACGCGCAGCCCAGGCGCTCCCGCCGGAGGGCAGAGGCGCCCGCGCCGGGGGACACCGGGGCGGAGGCGTCCATCACCCGTCGGGACTGGCTGCGGGCAGGGGCGGCGGGCGCGGGCCGGTACCCACCTGGCGCTCGGTTGCAGCCTGGGGCCGGCCTCTCCCCGCCCGGCTGTGGAGAGGGGGAAGGCGAGCCGCGCCGGGCTCTGCAAAGGCCTCAGGCCGCCACAAGCCACCTGCACGAGCGCGCGGGTCCCGCCAGAAGGACAACTGCTCTCTGTCGCTCTGCCCCGCCTCCCGCCGCCCTCCCCACTTCCGGCGGTGCGTCACGCAACGCCGCCCGCCGGCAACTTCCGGCCTTCCCGCTATAGGCAGAAGACGGAGGCCCGGAACGGGTGTGTGGCGCTTTCTGTGGACTCCGTCGTTTTCGAAGTGTCCCTTTCCTGTCGCTGGGTGCGTGGAGTCGGCTCGTGGGTCTCCAAGACCCGAAAGTTGAGAGCTTCTTTGCGCCCCGGCGGCTGCGCGTGGCGGCTCGGCGGCCGGCACGATGGTGAGCTGGTCCCCTGGGGTGCTCGCGACGCGGGGCGTCTGAGTTGGGGCCCCCGGGAGCCTGGGCCCGGGGCGAGGGTGACGGTGAGGGTGAGGGCTGGTGGGCGGAAGTGAGGTCCCGCGGTAGGGACGCCGTGGGCTCCGCGGAGAGAAAGCAGCTCACTGTGGGGACAGCGAGTGGGTGTTTGCCAGAGCACAGGCCTTGGAGCGAGACAGGTCTCCCCGGAAAGTGCCTGGCTTGGCCGCTCGCGTGCGGTCCCCGGAACCCAGCGCTGAGCCGTGCCGCGGGGACGGGTGGCCTGCCTCCCACGGGCCGGCAGCGGGGGAGTTGCGGAGCCGGGTCTACAGCCCGCATCTGCCTGCCGGATGCCCTCTCTCCCTCCTGCCTCTCTAATCTCTGTCTGTCTGCGAAATCGCGTTCCATACCGCGCTCAGGGTTGCTGCAGAGTTTATGTGCTAGCAGTTGACAATACACCTGATAGGTAGTACCTTGTTGATCGTTACTTAGCATTATTCTCCGTGCCGGAGTTGGCTTTGCTGCATCGTTGTTTTCTTTTTTGCAGTGTTAAAATGCAAATGGACTGGGGCCACGTGTTTAAGATAAATAAAATTGGCATGTAAAATAGGCACTTAAAAAGCAAAAGGGGATCCCATATATTGCTGGTGAAATGCAAAATAGTACAGGCACTTTGGAAAACAGTGTGGCTTATGTCTCCACAAAGACTTCTGTGCAAATGTTGATTCACTGAAAACTAGAAACGATGCAAATATCCATCAACTGGTCAGTGGATAAACAAACGGTGGTATGTCCATATAATGGAAGACTACTTGCCAATAAAAGGGATTGAAGTACTGATAGATGCCACAGCGTGGGGCAATCCCCAGGGCCTTATCCTAAGTGAAAAGCTGCATGCAAAAGGCTACATCCTGTAGATTCCATTTTTGCGTCATTCTGGCAAGGCAAAACTGGAGGGATAAATATCAGATTGGAGGTGGAAAAGAGGATTGCCTTCAAAGTGACACAGGGGTACTTCCTGGATATTCTCCATCTTGATGTGGTGGTTACAGAACTGTATAGCTTGTCAAAACTTAAAGCTGTACACCCACACCTAAAGAGCATATTTTCAGTGTGTTTAAATTTTACCTAAGTAAAACTGACTTAATTTTTTTAATAAGTATTAATAATGATGATGATGTTATTGAAAACCAGATTACTGATGTTCAGAAAAAAGAGAGAGAACATGGGATCAGGTCATCCCTTTTGTGGTCCAGTGGATTTTGGACAGTTCCCTCCAGTGAACAGTAACTTTCACTGAGATGATTACAGCTGTAAGTCCCAATACTTCATATCATCCAGGATCAAAATTTGTTTAGCTTACATCATGTGAATAGGTTTACTAGTGCAAGAGTTATTTAAGCAAGTGAACGTTTGAATGACATAGGGCCTTCTATACTTCATATGCTGCTCAAAAGAAAGTATTTTAGAATAATTGTCATTTTTTACAATTAAGGTAGCATTTCTTGTATTGTTATAGCCACAAAACGAATATATTGAGTTACACCGTAAGCGCTATGGATATCGTTTGGATTACCATGAGAAAAAGAGAAAGAAGGAAGGTCGAGAAGCTCATGAACGTTCCAAGAAGGCAAAAAAGATGATTGGTCTGAAAGCTAAGCTCTACCATAAACAGCGCCATGCTGAGAAAATCCAAATGAAAAAGACGTAAGTGATCATTTACTTGTAACAAGTTAACATATTTTGAGTAATAGCTATTAAAACTAATAATCTTTGGGGCTGGCCCAGTGGCATAGTAGTTAAGTTTGCGCACTCAGCTTCAGTGGCCGAGGGTTCACGGGTTTGGATCCCAGGCACGGACCCAGCACTGCTCGTTAAGCCATGCTGTGGCGGTATCCCACATCAAATAGAAGATGGGCACAGATGTTAGCTCAGGGCCAAGCTTCCACACACACACACCACCCCACACCCCCACACACAAATAACCTTGAATCTTTTTTCTTTTTGGTAGTATCAAGATGCATGAAAAGAGAAACACCAAACAAAAGAATGATGAAAAGACTCCACAAGGAGCAGTACCTGCATACCTGCTGGACCGAGAGGGGCAGTCCCGAGCTAAAGTGCTTTCCAATATGATTAAACAGAAACGAAAAGAGAAAGCGGTAAGCACTGGAAATCTAAGTCTTTATTTCTTTTTTGTTCAAGAGAATTACTTAAATTCAAATTTGAGGTTCTTAGTTTGTTTCTTCAGTGTAATTGGAAACATGAAGTCCAACTGCTATCCCCATTATTTAGATATTGGAGTCTTTGTAAATTTCATTTTGCATAAAATGTTTAAATAATAAAAAACTTGCTTTATTATCACCAGAACATTTTAGCATTTAACAGGTTTTTAAAAATTTATTAGAATACCATAATCTTTAGTTTTTAAAAGAATTACTTAAAAACAAAAAGTCAGTAATCAGTGAATCTCAAATTCAGCATTTTAACGGCTTCCTATGCTTGACGACTCCTAATGCTGTGCTGTTGTGGAGCGAGATACGACTGCTGCTTGTTTTTACTGCCCAACAGTGTCAAAACTGTAAAAAAGTGGAAGTGGAGAACACCGTAAATGAGCTGACTTAAGTACATACTCCGCAGGGTGTTTTTCAGTATTTCTGGATTTCGCTTGGTGTCAAATTGTTAAATTCTGCTAAAAACAGAGAGGAAAAGGCATAGATACTATTTTTAAACACCTGTGGGTGGCATCAGACTATGTGGTATCTGTATTTAAAGAGCTTACAGTCTCCGAATTTGATTCAAAAAAATCTTACTGCTGGTTTTTTGGTATGTACTTATTCAAAATTAGAATGGTAGAACTTTAGCACCAAAAGAAACTTGAGAGATGATCCACTTCACCCCTCCTCATTTTATAGATGGGAAGACTGGCGTCCAGGAGGTTGTGAATCATTCTTCATGGGCACATATCTGAAATAGTGGAGTTGCTTCTAGAACCTGTGTCTTAGTGATAAGTCCAGAATTCTTTGTACTGCCTTGCACCGCTTCAGGTTTTTCACAGAATTTGCATTCTAGGGAGGTACAGAGTATCTGGTGATGATCTTGTCTTACTAGTAATGTAATCTAAAGATCCATTCAAGGATTGTAGAAATACGAAGATATATTAAGAGGTGGCGACAGTCTTCCAGTTTGACACTATTAACTATTTAATAAGCATACACACCACTGAGAGAAGTCACTGCCTTATTGCAGGTGGTATTTTTCGTCCATAACGAAGCATTAACATCTTTAGCTTAAGCGCACCATTTTATTTAACATACCCATGGAATGTGAGCTTTACTAGTTCCAGTTAATTTAGGGCGTGGGAGGACAGTGCAGACCTCTAGACAACAGTGAAACCCACATCCTGTTGGTTAAGAAAAAAAGTGAATCTCCTACTTTGTGCAACTAAAACGTATTTGACTTTTTATTCTCATTGTCTTTTACTCACAATGCAAATACAACTGTGGTCTGTTTTTAGGGAAAATGGGAAGTCCCTCTGCCGAAAGTTCGTGCTCAGGGAGAAACAGAAGTATTAAAGGTTATTCGAACAGGAAAGAGAAAGAAGAAAGCCTGGAAGAGGATGGTTACTAAAGTCTGCTTTGTTGGAGATGGGTTTACTCGAAAACCACCGAAATATGAAAGATTCATTAGGCCAATGGTAAGTCTCTTGCAAGAGTACAGTGGCTTAAATATTAGTTCCTGTGTTAAACTGAAAAAAGTACGTTACAATTTCCTGAAAATCCTAAAATTGATACAAAAAACAAGCTGAAAGACATTTTTAGGCTATTTTTATTATTTTAAATTATTGATAGTGATGGCTTAGCACTATCATCAAGAATCTTGTCTTCAGCTTCTTTAAGAGACTTGAGATGAAAAAGAATTTCCATTACAGACATTGTCAGTGAATCCTCACTTTTAAACATGACCTATTAGAATCTTCTTTTTTCACAGTCATTTTTCTCATTCAGCAAGTGGTCTACTGTATGCCTGACACTTGTTGTCTTTGAGAACAGTTAGAAAACTTGAGTAGGACTGTTTTTTCAAGAGTCACTTCCAGTTTCGTAAGAGAAGTATCTTAATGCTTTTGAAAACATTCAGTATGCAGTCATTGAAAAAAAGAGAATATAAAAGGTGGGACTTTAATTTTTGTTGCCAGCAGTGATAGTCAAAACCAGTCTCCACCCCCATATAATTGAAGATATATTTTTGCAAAGTCCCTTTAAACAGACTGAATTATTCTCCCAGCTGGATATCCAGCCTGCTTGGAGAATCAGAGGGAGGGAAGTTGGCAGGGTCACTCTAGCTCTCAGCCTGAATAACCTTTAATGGATTAAAGCATTGTCAAACAGCCTGTTTCTGTAAATAGAGTTCTGTTGGAACACAGCCATGCCCCTTCATTTATGTGTTGACCACAGCTGTTTTCTTCCCGTGGAGTTTGAGTAGTTGCAACAGAGACCTTACGGCCTGCAGAGCTTAACATGTTCACTGTCTGGTCACTTAGAGGAAATGCTCACCCACTCCTGGATTACATCACAGACTCCCTTTGTTTTGATTTCATATTCATAGTCTTCTAAATATTGACCTTACCAGCTCTACAGGGAGAGAATATACTAGCCAGGCTGTTGTAGGCTTTCTGTAGCTTGGCAGATATAGTTCTTATTCTTAATTAATCACATGGCATTCTGAATGGTATAAGTTTCTAACAAGCTTGATTAATGAGTCCATTACTAAGAACTTGACTTAGTATTATTTGTCCCCTACTCCCATACAGGCAAAAATCAAATTTTAGAGACGGCAGTCTTGTGGCTTCCAGAGTGCTACCCCCCGAAAGACCATGTGTAGGTGCCCAGGTGCTGGGCTCTCTGCAGTCTTTGAGCGGTATTACCGTCAGCACAGAGAAAGCTGACAGCCCACCCCTTGTTCCCCATGGGAGGGAGCTGAGCAGGAGGACTTGAAATCAGGACAGTTCAGTTTGATTCTGTCTACACGCCAGTTAACCTGGGAGTAAGTCATTTAACCTGCTCACCTTTGTGTTCTCATTTGAACAGCAGTAGGGTTGTGGGGTGTCCTGTTTAAGTGAGCTGTGGCGTAGCGCCTGGTGTGTGTAACGCATCCTCAGTGTAGACAGCCCACCGAGGGAAAGCTGAGGAGGGCGCTAGGGAGCTGTCCCACGGTAAGCACTTCTCAGGAGCACACATTTATCCCTTAACTGTCAGGTTTTTAGTCTGTAGGATTAATTTTATTTGATGCTTTCAGATTTTACTCTGTTCAGTCCTTTTTTTTTTGGAGATGACTGGAAAAGGAAAGCAAGAAGGATCATTCCTCATTGTTAACGTTTTGTGTTTTGGACTTGTGTTTGACTTGCCAGGGCTTACGTTTCAAGAAGGCCCATGTAACCCACCCTGAACTGAAGGCCACCTTTTGCCTGCCCATCCTGGGCGTGAAGAAGAATCCCTCCTCCCCGCTATATACCACTTTGGGTGTTATCACCAAAGGCACTGTCATCGAGGTGAACGTGAGCGAGCTAGGCCTCGTGACACAAGGAGGCAAGGTCATCTGGGGTAAGTTCGTTTTTTAATGTGGGGCTGCTGCTGTTAGAGTCCTAAAATAGAAATTTTCAAGCTGACAAAGTACACAGCAAATTTTAATGCCAAAGAGCTAGATAAGTTAAACTTGATTTAAATCTTTAGGAAGAAGACTTTTTGTAGAAAAAGTATTTGGGAATGCAATTCTTTTTAATTTAGCTCATTGGTTTCAGTTACGTAAGGTGTACTACATTGCCAGATTTATTTTGATGCTGTTTATTTAAAAAGACACTATGAGGGAAGCAGATGCAAAGTTATGATTATAACTAAAAAATATTGGAAGAAAACACAATAAATTAACCACGAGCCGGGGAAGGGAGGCATACATCAAGCACATGGCCACACTATTTCATTATTAATTAAAAAGTGATGTGTGTCATGTGGCAGTTTAACATTTTTTCCTCACTTTCTTAGTTTTCTACTTTTAGTCCCCAGATATTTCTGAACTTTAATGTTCTTTGAAAGGAACAAATATACCGTATAACTTAGTGAGTCTTCATATGAGGCACTGGCCCATACTTCACGCTGGCTGACCTAAATTTTAAAATAGGTTGTTAAACTGATTTGAAACTTTTTTTTAAACTTGAAGCATTTTCGCATAAGAATTACGTGGAAAAGTAGCAATGCTCAGGTCAATCCACTACGGCTTGTTAATACAGCATATGAACAGAATGGAGCTGACCACCATTTGTAAAAACAGTATTTATATAAAAATTGTATTCAAAACTCAAGCTTAGTCTTGAGTGATTTAATTTTATAAAGTCTCATTTATCCTACTATCATTCATTTTTTTCTTTCTTAAAAGTGGTAATTAGAAATATTTTGGGCAGGGGCTGGCCCCGTGGCCAAGTGGTTAAGTTCGCGTGCTCCACTGCAGGCAGCCCAGTGTTTCGTTGGTTCGAATCCTGGGCGCGGACATGGCACCGCTCATCAAACCACTCTGAGGCAGCATCCCACATGCCAAAACTAGAAGGACCCACAGCAAAGAATATACAACTGTGTACTGGGGGGCTTTGGGGAGAAAAAGGAAAAAATAAAAAAAATCTTAAAAAAAAAAATATTTTGGGCAAAAGTTATACTCTAAAGTTAATTTCTACTGGCTAACATCCATCCTTTTTCTGTTTTGTTTTCCTTAGGAAAATATGCCCAGGTTACCAACAATCCTGAAAATGATGGATGCATAAATGCAGTCTTACTGGTTTGACAGCAGTTTCCCACAAGTAGCTCCTTAATGATTATTGAAGACTACATACCAATCAATCAGGAAAACCACCATTACTGTGATGTTTCTGAATACTGCCAACCAGCCTTACACGTCTGCAGTCATCAAGAGAACTATTTATTCTATTGTAAAAAACAGTAAAATGGCCCAGTTTTACAAATTGGTCTTTATTTTTGGGTCTGTTTAGCATTCATATGTTCATAAAATTCAATGATTAAAAAAGCAGTGATGGGGCCGGCCCCGTGGCCAAGTGGTTAAGTTCACACACTCAGCTTTGGGTGGCCTCGAGTTTCGCCGGTTCAGATCCTGGGCACGGACATGGCACCACTCATTAGGCCATGCTGAGGTGGCATCTCACATATCACAACTAGAAGGGCCTACAACTAAAATATACAACTATGTATTGGGGGGATTTAGGGAGAAAAGGCAGGGGGGAAAAAAGGATTGGCAACAGTTGCTCAGGTGCCAGTCTTTAAAAAAAAAAACTGATAGAAATGTCCTACTTCATCAGTATCTGCATTAATAAGTGGGTACTCGGCAATGCAGACCTGTCGTTAGTGGAAAAGCCAGTGCAGTTGAAAACCTTGTACCATAGAGGTTAGTGCACACTTGAATATGGGGCCTCGGCTATGAGACTGTCATGTGTGATAGCTTACCTGAAGTCTTTTCCACCTCACTGTTCATCATTCATGAGAAATGCAGCGTTAACACACGGTCATGTTTCAGTTTATGAAGTGCTTACATGCAAAGTATCTGAGAGAAGGCATACTACACTAAATAGGAAGAGTTCAGAAGAACTTAGACAAATCTTTTCACCTGTGATTAATCCTTAATTTCTTCATACAGTCAGTCAGTGAATTAGTATTTTAAATCTTTTTTCCTGTCATTCATATATAAAATACCTACTTGGAACTGTATTTTTTCATTGAAACATGAATAAAAATATACCAGGATGTTTATACTTTTAGCATTTTCCATATTCTAAACTTAGGGTAGTAATTTATATTTCTAGAATGGTAAAAATTTGTTTGAATAACTCCAGCTAAAATAGTTTTAAAAAAGCCTGTGGTGATGCCCTTAAAAAGGAATTTATTTGCAGTTGCTTAGATAATACAAAAATGGTCATGTTTTAGGGTTGTAACTTGGTCAGAGCACTTTTGTGATCTGAATTATCTATTTGTGGCTTTGAGCTTTAGGGTGTCTAGATATAACATGAATCTATAATCACAGTAATTGTTTCAAATTCTATTTATTTTTTAATAAACAATTGTACTTGAAAGTACAACCAATGTGATAACTGTACCTTTAACAAAATCATTTAATGTCTAAACAAATTGAATATCTAAACACATCTTCATCAATGAAATTAGGGAAAATGAAAAGAATTTCAAAACACAGACCAGGAAACAATCACAAAATATAGGTTTAATTACTACTTTTAAACTTAAAAAAAACCTATCAAGAAAACAAACATAAGTACTTCAGTAAGACTTGCTATTCTGAATAATGCAACATCTTTTCTAAGTTGTATATAAACATAGTAGAAGCTTTAGAACACACAGACACTTAGGAAAAGAAAGGCTAGTTCCTTGGGAATGACTATCCAGTATGACAGCTACTTCAGGATGACAGAAGCTGAACCTTGTTAACAATTAGATTTTAACAAATGATTCTGCTACTAAGAGAAATGGAGAATGTGTGAATGACTTAAGTTTTGGAATGTGAAAGGAAAAACTAAAGCAGTGGATACTACAGAACTGAGGTTTGCTTATTTTTAGAACCAAAACCAAGCAAATTAGCTATCTTGTACAAAGAAAGCTTGATATTAAGTATGCAAACAGAAGCATAACACTTGTAACTAGTCACGCCCATGAGAGACTGGATAACACCCTAAACACCATATTGCTACTAGTGGACATACAGGGCAGAACTTTATTTCTAAAATACTGTTGCACAGATGAGTAATGTTAGTATAAATTCTTTATTTACATTAAGATGTTTCAGTTTGCTGGTGTGACCAAACCTTAGAAGGTAATCCCTAAGGGTGAAGCAGAACTTAAGAGCGGATGATTTAGGTCCCAGGTAAAGGCTCAATTTGATGCAATCGTAAACCTTCAAGATATTTTCTAAAGTCACTGAACCGTTTTAGGTAACGTTCTGGTGGTCAGTTAAAAGTGAACCATTAGTCACTAGTAATTGTTATCCTTGCCATGATAATTCTCTGCACTGAATGGGAACACCATGAACATACACACATTTTAAGTAGCAGAAGACGGACATTCTGTCACGCTATTTGATTTTATAAAAAATCATAAGAGACCCTCTCACCTTTACAAGTTATAGAGGAGATTTATAATAAAGTCTTAAATATATTTCTGTGATGTCTAGCAATTGAATAATTTAAACTTGAAAGTAGAAGTAACATTTTGCTAATTACTGCTTTATATTACACAAGGAAATATATAAGTATTTACACAAACTGAACTCCCTTCTCCACAAGTAAGACTTCTAAGCAAAAAAGCAGTTCACAAAGGACTATACAATGTGACTGGACACAACGACTAGATGAGCTGGGTGAAATCAGATTTCAGTCTTCTAATTTTGAAAGTTTTTCTAACGCCTTACAAAAACGACAAGTATCTGATTAAGTTTTATTTAGATTCCTTATGGAGGATAAGTTTTGTTATAAATTCTATACTCACTGGGTATAGAACTCATTTACTGAACATGGAAGTTAGGTTTTTTCACATGACCTAACTTTTCCTTATCTACCATCTATAATTCCCAAAATAACATTTTCTGTCAGAATATGTAACAAAATTTTCTCGTATGCTGAAAAGTTTTGAAATTGCTTAAAATGCACTTAGTGTTTAAGAATAAACCCAGTTTACCAAGCTTATCCTGTTAGTCCCCAGTGATCATATATGAATAAACTTTTTTGTCAAGTCAGTGACCACTCACATCAAGAGTTGTCAGAGCTCTATCTTCTTAAACTACACCTTTTTAAAGAAAATATTTTAAAGACAACAATAAACAATCCAAGTAAAAAAGTAAAATACCTAAGTGTTAGGTTTTTAAATCTATTTTAAGAAATTAAAAATGGAAAGGTTAAGAATTTACTAAATCTTAACATTCCCCTAATTGTGGTACTAACAAAAGTTTCTCACAAATGTATAAAACAGCCTAAATGTCTGATAGATACGCTAGTATTAGTCATACTTATTCTTTCACTTAATTAGTATTTGTTGAGAAGACAAATGGCCAAAGTGCTTTAATTTCCATTTACAGTGAAATAATCTGGCTTACCTCTGACCAATAATTAAAGAAAATGTAGGAGATACAAGTATTCAAAATTTTACATAAATAGGAGGGTTCGCGAGCTAGCTTAGAGATTTTCAATTCAACTTAGTAGATCTTTCTAAAATACCAACATCCCAAAATAAGATTTGATGGCATCCCCCGACTGCAGGCTGAATAAACCTGCGGCACTCATCTTCAGCGCCTCCGACAGGGACCAGGCAGAACATGTTTTCCTCATGTAGGGACCAAGCTGTTTGAAGAACAACCGAAAAGGTCTCAAAGCATTCTCCAACTTAAGAGCAAATTTGAGAGAACAGAATACTTCCAAAGAGTAGGATTGTTTGAAGATTCTCTTTGGAGTCTAAGAACCACCAATCCATTTTTCAATAAATTACTATACAAAAATTAACAACCAAGAGGTTTTTCTTTTGTTTTCCTACGCAGAGGCCTTTGCTATGGCAACACCATGTCCACACACAGGCTGGCTTTTAACCTGTCGTCACAGAACAGGTCCAGAGTGAGCAAGGCCCCAGGGACAACCGCAGCTCCCAGGGCAGCTCTATTCCTGCCACCCAGGCCCAAGGCTGGGGTGCAGCCCATACCTGCCCAGAAACGGATGCCAAGGGCCCAAGCTGCCAGGCAGGTCTTTGGACAGGAGTCAGTCCACGGGCCAGGGAAGTGGATGGCGGCTGAGGGGGTTGTCAGTAAGATTCTGGACTAAAGGCAGTGGCAGGGTCAGGAGACGCCAGAGGAAGGGTTCTCACGCTCCTGAAGTACACACGCTAACGGGTGAGGAGGAAAGCACAGTCCCCGCTTCAGGTGGAACTTCGAAGGCTTACGCTAGTGCCCAGAGGCCCACGGGAAATCCCTAGCAGTGCTGTTGGCATCAGATGCTACAAAGAGTGCGCTGGACACAGATTTTGTACCTTTTCACAGACACTGAAGTCAAAGGAAGAAATTGCCTCTACACAACTAAGAATTAAGAGGCCCAAACCTTCACAAACCTTTGACCACAAATTTCTGTATTTGTGCTCTCACTTAGTTGAAGTTATATTTATTCTAATTTACTGACATTTTTGTTTAGGCATGCCTACATTTTAAAAAATGGTGATTAGTTTTGATATTTGAGATAAAACTTCTAGAACCTTCACCAAGTTTACTATTAAAACCCTTAGTATAAAAGATTTCTGTGATCCTTACAAGTAATAGAAAGCCTACTACTTTCAGTTTTTTAATTTATATTTTCTGAAATATTAACGGTCAGATGTCTCCAACTGCTAAAGAAAAAATAGTATGATCTGGTTTCCCAAAATTGAAACATGGTTAATAAAAATAAAAAATTGTATTTACACAAAATAGCTGAAAAATTAAGAAGAATGGTGAATCCTAGGGTCCTAGTGGGGAGGGAAAAACGGCATCCTAAGTCCCAATTGAAATTCTGGAATTTTTGTCCTGTGCCCCATGCTATTTATTAAGGATCATAGTTAAAAACCACCACTATGTCACAAGGAAGAGGCTTCATGCTCTGCACGCCTTCTCTTAGGTCAGCTTGGCTTTCTTCTTACCAGGCCCTTTGTGCCCCTTGGCCTTTCTCCTCAAACTCCGCCTGTCCACCACGGGCACCTCCACCTCGATCTCCTCTGAGCTGCTGTCCACAGTCTTCTCAGTTGATTGTGTAAACTGATCCAGCTGCTCCGAAGACGCCTCCGACTGCTCCTCCGACTGATTCTTCTGTCCCGCGTTCTGTGAAAAGGGCACGTCTTCGAGTTCGACCTCTATCAGAGAACTCTGCTGGAGGGCCGCCGCCGGCTCCTGGGGCTCGGGAGCCGCCTCCTCGCCCTGGTCTTCCAGTGAGGAAGTGGTGTTGGGGGACAGATTTTCAGAGATGGATTCCTCAGAAAACTCAGTCATCACAGAGTTTGGAAAACCACTGTCAGACCGCTCCTCATTTGGGATAGCAGCAACACTGTCTGAACTCCCAAAGTGCGCTTTCTTTCTTGAAACTAGTGGCAGTTTCTCTTCGGGGTGCCCCTTTTCATCAGCTGGGCCTTCCTCTAGCAACATTTCTGAGTCAGTTATATGTGAGGTCTGAAAACAAAAAACCTGGTGAACAAACTTTTGCAATATAGTTCTTACATAAATTATTCTCAGCCACTAATATGCAACGATACAGAACTGCACTTCAAAGAACTCAGTGCTCGTTACTTCTGTCAATCACATGTACAGATTCTGGATATAACTCAATCTCTTCAAAACTATCTTAACGTGATAACTGGACACACTACGTCCTTGGTTTAAAGATACAATAAAAGTATTTTAGGGACCGGTCCCACAGTCTACTGGTTAAGTTCAGTGAGCTCCACTTCAGCGGCCCAGGTTTGGTTCCCAGGCATGGACCTATACCACTCATTGGTGGCCACACTGTGGCAGTGACCCAAATACAAAAAAGAGGAAGACTGGCACTGATGTTAGCTTAGGGCAAATCTTCCTCAAGGAAAAAAAAGAGGAAGACTGGCAGAAGTTAGCTCAGGGTGAATCTTCCTCAGCAAAAATAAAAAATAGGTATTTTTACCTCAAAAAGTACTTAAGACATTTTAAACTTCATATCAAGATTCTTCAGGGGCTGGCCCCATAGCTGAGTGGTTAAGTCTGCACACTCTCTTTGGCGGCCCAGGGTTTCGCTGGTTTGAATCCTGGGTGTGGACATGGCACCACTCATCAAGCCACACTGAGGCACCATCCCACATGCCACAACTAGAAGGACCCACAACTAAAATATACAACTATGTACTGGGGGGCTTTGGGGAAGAAAAAGAAAAAATAAAATCTTCAAAAAAAAAAAAAAGATTCTTCAAAATCATGAATCAACTCAAGAGTTTTTAGTTTCTGGGTGTCACTGGAGCCAGAACCAGGAGTCCCTTGGGACTTGACACTGTGCCACTCCACTAACTTTGACTGTGGTTTCATGAGATGATAAGTGAGGACAGTGGAAATTGTATTCATTTATTTATGTGAGATACTAATAAAATAACACTATACAATAGTTTCTTAGCCTTAAATTGGAATATTCAAAAATAAAAATTAGATTTATTTTAAAATACTCCATCAAGTTTTCCCCACTACAGTCATGCACCACGTAACCACCTTTCGGTCAACAACGGACCACATACCTGATGGTGGTCCTGTAGGACTCACCCATGCAGCCTAGATGTGCAGTAGGCTATACACCATCCAGGTTTGTGTTAGTTCACTCTGTGATGCTCACACAACAAAAGTGCCTGACGACACATTTCTCAGAATGTCCCCATCATTAAGTGACACATGACTATAATCTAATCTAATTAAACTGACTGGACTGGTCACAGACTGTGTAAGCAACAGGTGTTCAAATATTTCGTACATAATGATTTGTCCATTTTTCTAAACATTTATTCATTTTGTTACCATAAGTCAGATAAGAATAAACAAGGTTACAAAGGTTTGAATTTATGGAATATTACTGATTGCATCTTCTTAAAATACCAAATCCAGTATAAAATTTAACTTTCCTGAAGGACTGTACATGTTAAAGAGGAGGAAAATATGTATACCACACTGCCCATAGCATGTCGTCAACAGCGGAACACCTTAACTATAAAAAAGTAGGTTATTCCCCCCTTACCTTCTCCTGGGCAACAGCCTCAGCGGGTTTGGAAGAGTCCACCACCAGCGGAACAAGAGCAGCAGAGTCCTCACCGGAACTGAAAGACTGCAGTTTCAATTCTTCATCTAAAACCTCACTAGCGGAGTCCTCCTCTTCAGTCGTCAGCGAGGTCTTAAGCGTATCATCCACTATCTCACCATTCACAGGCTCTAGTTCAGACTCCTACACCATCAGGGGAAAAGAATAAGTCAGGAAACGATGACACTAACTTATTTGTCATGCAAGGTGGGTCCATTCTCAGCCCCTACCTGTCAAGCGCCAGGACTCGAGATAAATGCTACCACATTTAGGGCAGGGTTAAGGAATAGTCTTACTGGGCGAAAGGGGAACTTAGGCAGCCCGGTGAGTAAAAGACAAGAATCCCTAAGTACCCCAAACTCCCCTCTTCCCATGGAGAGAGGACAGGACCAGGACACGAAGTGTGGGTCTGAAACTCAGTGAGGAGCCCCAGCCACTTTCTGGCTCTCCCTTCTTATAGGGCAATCATGGGAGGAACCTTTGCAGTAAAGAGGCAACAGAGAAAGGGTCTCCGTTTGGCACCAGCTCTTTACAGCACACCAGCTGTTCAGCACTTGGGCGCTCTGGGGCCTGCAGGAAGTCACAGCTCACCCTGCCAGGGGCAAGAAGCACTACCAGTCTGTGGGAAACTGAGTTTGCGTACAGCCTCTTTCTGGGATTAGAGAGCCCGCAATCTCTGTTAGCTCACTGTCCAGTCAAGGTGGGTCATTTATGAACAATCCTGCTCCTGACATCATGTTAAAATATGGAAAAGTCATCTGATAACACAAACCCTCCCATTTCTGAAACTCTTCTTCCAATGTTTACCAGGTTACAAGACTTCTTAATAATTAGAGGGCATTTTACTACCATTTTAAAAATTAGGAAACTGATGCACTTAGGCGTTCAGAAATAGATTTGGCTGGATTACATAGGACCCCTGAAATCATGTAAGGAAAGTTTTCCAAAGGGATACTGAAATCAGACACTTAGAAAAATTAATCTAGCCGGATGGTATACAGAACTGACGGCACATAGAAGGTAATTATAATAAAACTCACACAAGGACCAACTAGAGTGGGTGAAATATTCAAAGGAAGAAAATGAGAAGAGAGCAAAAGCTTAAACAGAATTTTGGTGAGTAACTGAAAGTCAGAAGCAACAGAAGAGAAAAACTCAGTCCTTCAAGTTCTAGGTTTGGGAACAGAAGAAAGTAAGAAACAGGAAAAAAGGCTCAATACAGAAGTGATAAGAAGGAACAGAGATTATGCTGAACTTAAGATGATGACAGACATCTGTCTAAATAGGAATTTTCAGAAGGCAAGTGACATTATGGGACTACAGTCTGGATCCATATTTAAAGTCCAGAGTTACTGGTCATCCCCACAGAGGTAACAGTTGAGCCATTAGAGCGTGTTTGTTTTCAAAAGAGAGAGCATGAACCAAAGAGCAGAAAGCCAAGAACTGAGTCTTCTAGAATGTCCACAAATAAAGGGGAAAAAGCAGGAAGCAGAACAGACAAAAAGTAATTAAAACCAAAACCAAAAGGGCAGGCCAGTCGCTGAGTGGTTAAGTTCACGTGCTCCACTTTGGCGGACCAGGGTTTCGCTGGTTCAGATCCTGGGCACGGATATAGCGCCGCTCATCAGGCCATGCTGAGGCGGCATCCCACATGCCACAACTAGAAAGACCCACAACTAGAACATGCAACTGCGTACCGGGAGGCTTTGGGGAGAAGAAGAATAAGAAAAAGAAAAAAGAAGATCCACAACAGATGTTAGCTCAGGTGCCAAGCTTTAAAAAACAAACGAAACACAGCAAAACTTCAGAGATTGGAAAACCAAGAAATAAAAATAAAGTAGTGTTAGAAAGCCAGGGACTGGAGAATCTCGAGGAAGATGGCAGTGGAATGGGAGTGGAATGGGAGTGCCCTGGTGACCCATGGGAGCATGTGCTCAGTGTACCATGTGACACAGGAAACACACGACATAAAGTGTGTACAGTATAATCTTAAGTTATACTAAGAAATCTTGGGGCTGCCCCATGGCCCAGTGGTTAAGTTCGCACGCTCTGCTTCAGTGGCCCAGGGTTTCGCCGGTTTGAACCCTGGGCACAGACATGGCACTGTTCATCGAGCCATGCTGAGGCGGCGTCCCACATGCCACAACTAGAAGGACCCACAACTAAAATATACAACTATGTACCAGCAGGCTTTGGGAGAAAAAGGACAAATAAAATCTTAAAAAAACAAAAAAAGAAATCTTAAGCAATTTCTTTTCTCTTTAAAAGAGAAAAAAACACAAATATATATTCCCATAAACATCTAGATGCATGTAAGTCCCTTTTTAAAACATGTGCTTTATTTTCCCAATTTTCTATAAGAAAAGAAAAAAATGCCACTTAAAACTACAGTTTCACGAAGTAGATGAAGCAGGAGCTAAACTGGAGTAAGTTAAGAAAATAAAAGCATGACGTAGTTTCATTTGTTCAGGGGCTGGCTAGACTTGGCAAACAGGTAAAAGATTGTTAAAGAAACTTAAGTACATATGAAAGAAGAAATAAGGAATCTGCAGCCAGGAAAAGATTAAAGATATTAAAGAAAAAAAAGAGAAGGATAGGAAATGGACAGAGAAGAAGAAAAAAGAAGACACAGAAAAACACTGGAGGAGGTGCAGAAGGCAGGCCAGACGCAGAGGATACTTAGTCAAAGACGATTTTCCTATTTGGTTTCTAGCGTTAAAAAAAAAAAATGAATTTAGCTATTTTTCCAGGAATCTGTAAATCAATTGTAGTCTTAGATATTTCTTTCTAGACAACTACTTTTATCCTTCTACCCAAAATAAGGGTGCAACTGAGTGCCTACTTCAAGGCATTCTAACCGGTTCTACAAGGCAGACCTCACAGTCACATCCTTCGTGTCACTTAAGTATGTTTAATCCCACAAATTAATTTATATTTTAAATGCACTGAGAGACCTTACTACCTAAACATCCTTTCTTTCATCTTCGCTATAAGTCACCCGTTCACAAACTCGGTTTGAAATATAAAATGATACTTGTAAGTTCATCCTCTCCCCAACTCCACAACCCGATCCTGCATAATACAGACACATGCTTTTTAACATTAAACACAATTTCTGTTAAGGCTCTAAAATACATCATTATATTTTTCTGACAATATATGATCATGACAGTTAAACTTCCGTTTACTTCCACTGTTTCATTTACGAAGTGGCCTCACACCTTTTCACCGTCCTGCTTGTCCGGGGGAGGCTGGGTTTCCGGCACGGGCCGCGCCTCTTTATCGCTACCTTCATCCTCAAACTCGATCGCACTCTGTTCAGGTTCTTCTTCCAGGAATTCCTCTGAGCTCTCTGAGGTGCGTGCCGTGGACTCCAATCTACAAAACAAAAGAAAACCGTTCTTACTTGTCTTATTAAGGATGAATATAAAATTCCAGGGATTTGTTAATAAAGTAAAACTTTAGAGAATCAACTGTGCTTCAGTCAACAACTTCAAATTTTACAGGTTCAAAACCAACCTCTTCATCTTATAAATGTGTTCTCGGTCCTACCTTCCCCAGTTTGGTTAACATCACCATCTTCTCCAGCACGTACTCTCGGCCCCTCTCTCGCTCCATCCACATCTGACTAGGTCTCGCTCTATCAGGATGAACGCATACCCCCTTTACCAGGGACAGTCCAGTCTACACCTTTTGTCGCAGCACTGGCATAATTATCAGTAGTGCCGCTTTCATTCTCCATGGACAATAAATGATATGGCTTCATCCTCTACGGACAACAAATCCAAAATATCTTCCAAACATACCCCTAACTTGCTATTCCCATTTTCATGGCCCTACTTCAAGCCCCAGGTCCCTCTGGACCACTGTGACTTGTTCCCACTCACCCTCCCCCCTGCACATTCTTCAGTAAGGTTTTCAGAGCTGTTTCTAATACACGTACCTGTAGCTGTGACAGCCTGGCTCAGACGGTTCTAGGGTTTAGAGAATAAAGCGCACCCGCTTTCAAAGCCTAGCATAACCAGACCCTTGCATCACTATCTCCCACCGGATGCCACCATTTACCTTACACATCACTCATCCTCACCGACCTTCCTTCCAGCTCTGTGCCTTTGCTCATGTTACTCCTGGAGTCTAGACCTGCAGGGTGCAGTAACAGCAGCCACGGGACACACGTCATCATTTACACTAACTAACATTAAATGAAATTAGAAATTCAGTTCCTCAGTGGCACGAGCCACACCTGAAGTGCTCAACGGGCACAATGGGCAGTGGCTGCCACACCGGGCAGGGCAGACACAGAACATTCCCAGCATCACAGAAGGTTCTTTGGACAGCCCTGGTGTAGAGCAGGGGTCAGCAAACTTCTCCTTTAGGTTTTGCGGGCCATATGGTCTCTAAACAACTCAACTCCACCATTGGAAAGCAAAAGCAGCCATAACAACACACAAACCAATGAGCAGGGATGTGTGACCATAAAACTTTATTTACAAATGTAGGTGGCGGGCCAGATTTGGCCTATGGACTAGAGCTTGTGGACCCTTTGACTAGAAAGTCTTCTCTCCCAGCTCTGCTTGTTGAGTTTCTACTTATCTCTGAAGCCCTGGTCCAAATGCCAAGTCTCTCCATCCCCCAATCAGAATCCATCACACTCTCCTCTGACCCCCAGCATCCGGCACTTCTGTTATGGCGCCATCACAGTCCACCCTGCAGCCCTCCTAACCTGTGTCACAGGGACAGTATGTGTGTTAGAAACCACTAGGCCATCAGTTCTTCAAGGGCAAAGAGGAGTTTCGTTCTTCGTAGTGTCTGAGTAAGCATTCAAGCATTTAGTCTTACTGTTACTGTCCTGATTCCATAATAATTGTGGGATGTCCAATTTAAAATGTACTGTTACATTCCCTTCTAAAAAGGGTATTACATCAAAATGTTGCTCAGTGAGAAAACTCTTATTACTCTTTTCACAAATTACCAGATTTAAATATTTACTTATATTTGCCTGTTCATGAATTTTTCACCAAAATATTTATATTCTTATTCAATTACCAAATTTAAAATTATTTACATGATGAAGTTAGCATAGCTACAGAACCCTCCACCTGAGTAAAATAATTCCACAGCTAACGTGGCAACGCTCTGAACGGCTGACTCAGGAGGAGTCTGTAGGACGGTGAGGACGAAAGTCTAATTTAACATGAAATTTACATTCTCGCTTTCTTCCAGACAGACAGAGGGCACAGTCAGAGCACTTGCTCTGCTACTCGGGCGGCTCTTCACTCCTGGAGCAGCTGTCTGCACCGTTTATGGTTATCGCTACTGTATGTTATAGCCCATAACCCAGTAAAGTGAATCAGTTACAAAGACAAATTGAGGGTTTTTTAAATTGACTAAACCTCAAGCATTACTAAAAACTACAGCTGTTGTCAAATTCAAAGTTGGTGACTCATTTGGGATAATATAATCACTAGAACATTCTCTTGGATTTCACACATGAGAGATTCAATGGTGAGTTTATTCCACTTTCTTACTAGCACTTTCTCCCTACAGGACCATCAAAGTGACCGTCACCACTGGCAGGTGTAATCAATAATCTTGTAGAATTCAAACAAAACTCCTATACCAATGTCATTGCTACACAAACAATATAATCATTGCCTCCAACTTAAGTACTAAATACTAGTAAAATGAAAAGAATAAACCAGGGGCCGGCCTGGTGGCATAGTGGTTAGGTTGGAGCACTCTGCTTCAGGAGCCCAGGGTTCAAGGGTTCAGATCCTAGGCATGGACCTACACACTGCTCATCAAGCAATGCTGTGGCGGCACCCCACATAGAGTGGAGGAAGACTGGCACAGATGTTAGCTCAGGGACAATCTTCCTCAAGTAAAAAGAGGAAAATTGGCAACACATGTTAGCTCCAGGCCAATCTTCTTCACAAAAAAATAAAAACAAAGAATAAACCAAATGATGACAGTAACATAAACAACACTTTACTTGTTTACTGAAGCTGTAGGTGAGGTCTGGGGAGTCTTTTCATCTTCCCCTTGAGAATTACTAAACTCAGAATCCTGAAAACGCTTTCCAATCTTTGGCCGCTTTAGCTGACTACTCCGAGTACGAGTGGAAACAGGTGTTTTATCATGACCTGAGAAAGACAGCAAGTACAATTAATTACGCATTCAAAGGGTCACATGAAAATACACAGCGAGGCAAGAACTATGCTAGTTGACATACGCCCTCACCATCACACTCTCCCTTTCTCTCTCACATCAGGCTAAGAAACAATATCAGTGTCTTTTTCTGAATTATGAAATAACTTTGTCAATATTCCTTCCTCACATTTCCATGTTACCTTGAGCTCTGCAAAGTGTTTCTGCATTTCACTTACATTCTCTCCCAATCATCTTGGGAAACAAAGTAGACATTACCATCTCTGTTCTACAGGAGAGGAAAAGAGAGGCATGGCGGCTTACTCTGTTCACATAGCAACATCGGCAGTAGTGGTGGCATTAGAAGCCAGATTTAGGTTTTAGATAAATTCTAGATTTAGATCTAGAATAAATTCTAAAATTTATAATAAATTCTAGATTTAGATTTCTAAATTTAGGTAGCTTCCAGATCTAAATCTAGATTTTCAGATAAATCTGCAATTACTCCAAGGGACGGATGGACGGACACACACCCCCACACCCTAATTCTCAGTGTCTCAAACGCTTACTGATAGACCAGCTGATTCTTACCTTCAGAAGTGCTTGCAAAGGCATCTTTTAGAGAATCAATCTAAAACAGAAACACAGATTAAAACCAAAAGTTTCACCTCATTTTTTCTCCCAATGGATCTTCATTGTGTCAAAAACAATATTTTAAAACGTTGTCCAAATAGCACTTTTTGTACTCACTATTTACCAACTAAGAAAACTCACTTAAGTAACAAAAGGCTATGTCAAGCCTCAGTTTCTTACGAGCCTGAGGACTCAGCAAGCCGCCTCGTATGTTGCAGTGGTCCACACTGGAGTCTCCCAGCGTTCCGTCCTCAGCTCCCTTCTCGCCCCAGCCCACGTGCCCTCCCTGCCTGACTTATCTACCACCTTTACTTCAACAGCTACTTGCTGATGAATCCGAAAATACCATTTAACCTCCTCAACTTCTTTCCTGATTCCAAAAGCTCTACTTCCAATGAAATATCTCCCCAGTGGATACTTCCTCCAACTTCACGTCCAACCTGTCTCAAACGGAACTCTTCTCTTTTCCCAATATTATTCCCTGTTTTGGTTAATGGCAATAACAATTCAGTCAACCATTCTAGCCAAAAACCTGTGAGGCGGTAACGACTTCTCCCTATCCTCATTCAATCAACCACCAAGCCTGTCAGTTCCACTCTGAACAATCTCTCAAAGCTGCCCCCTCGTCTGACCAATGCTGTAGCTCAGGTCTTTATCTCCTTTAACGTGAACTATTCCAACAGCCTCCTCACTGCACCCTTCGCTCTAACCACATGCCCTGAGACCCAACCGCATGCCCTGAGACCCCCTCGCCCCAATGACAGCAATGCTTCCGAATCACAAATTGTGCCACTCCTTTGCTTTAAAAAACAAGCTTTCCCGTTTTATTGCTGTCTAGAATACAAACTCCCCAACTCTTCAATACCAAATATGTCTTACATACCAAACATGACCCTTTCTTTCACGCCTGCATTTTTTACACGCTATCCTTTGGAATGCCCTAACAACCTTTGTCACAGAGCCCAAAGGCACCCTTCAAAAGTCAGCTCAGTTCCCACCTTACCTACTCCAGTCCTCAGGGAGAGCCAGTCCTACTGTGCTACGCACCTTCAATCACCCGCTATCTGCTCGATTAAGGAACTAGTATCCTGAAGGACATCTGTTTACTTATCTCTTTCCAATAATGGGCCATCTACTTCTCCCGAGCTGATGAAAACCATACCCTTGTATGTCCAGTGCTTGCCACAGTACCTACTTTACTATACAGACTGCTATCCATTCACTCACCACACACTTATCGAAACCTCACAGTATAGCAGCACATAGGCTTCAAGATGGCCTCTTTACAGGACGCAGACAAACAAGGGAGCAACTGCAAGGGCTAAGGTAAAAATCCTGTCTTCCAGAGCCTGCAGTTCAACTGGCTAAGGTTAAGACATAAAGACGAATAAATAAAAGGTACAAAAAGTATCGTGAGAGAAGTACATGTAATGTTTTATGTTCAAAAATAGGAAAACGCAAATAGAAAAACCATCATCTAAAGAATAAATCATGTAGTGATCATTTCACAATGTGTATCAAAACATCAAATTGCACATCTTAAATACATACGATTGTTATGTCAATTACACCTCAATAAAGCTAAAAAAACCCACATCATGTAGTTAAAATAAACAAACAAAACCACTTCCCCATGCGGTTACTGATAGAAAGAAATATGAAATAGTATAACATGAGAAATACTTTCCTTGAACAAATTAAAATATTAAACATGAATAATATGAATTCCCAAAATGAAAGAAATCTCATTTACGCTGCCAACCTCATGACATGGTGCAATTTTAATATAGTTGCACTAAAACGACACATTTAAAACTATTTGGCTCAATATTAAAGTAAATCATTGCTCTCACCACACGAATGGGAAGAGCAGATTTTTCTGCTTTCCCTGGTCTTACGGTATCTGACCAACAGCAAATGAATCGAGTACATCTGAGGAACTGGGAAGGCACTGTCATAGAACTGGGGCTAATCTGAAGTTCCAAATGGAGAAAAAATTAAAACAAAAAATCTAACTCCTTATATATAGTGATATTATTCATATCATCCTTAAAAACGTTCCACAAATTTTCACTCAAATAGTCAATGCTCATGATAATTAAGACAGGAAATAAAAGGCACAAACAATTCCCCAAAGCGCATGTCTCTGAAATGCATGCATGTTTACACAGACATATTCAACACTCACTAAAAACACAATCAGATACCCGTGTACAACTTACAACTGTAATAAATCCCATCCCAACAGAACACTGCATAAAAGGGACTTCTAGAAGCCCATCAATGCACTTGATACTAACTAATATCAGGTAAGTTCTAGAAGAGTACCTGCTCAGTCCTCTGGAGTGTGGTAATGGGACCTGTGCTTCTGCTTTCAGGTTTCCTAGTATTTGCAAAGTGCATTATGATCTACACAGACCTAGCACATACAGCCTCAAACTTCCTACAATAACTTCCTAATCCTTTGACTTACTACTAATTCCACTTCTAGAAATTTACCTGTGCAAGGAAATTATTATATATGCACAGGGACGCTTGCATAAATGTGTTTGCTGCTGGGCCACTTATAAATGTAAAAAAACAAGTATAATATGTTAAGGAAATAAATGATGGTATTTACATATATAGTAGAAGAGTGTGCTGCCATTTAACAATCATGTTTTAAAACAGTAATGCCATGGAGCCAGCCCTGATGGATTAGCGGTAACGTTCAGCACACTCTGCTTCAGCGGCCTGGGTTCAGCTCCCCGTCGTGGAACCACAACACTCATCTGTCAGTAGCCATGCAATGGTGGCAGCTTACACAGAAGAACTAGAAGGACTTAGGGGCAGCCCAGGGTTCACTGGTTCGGATCCCGGGTGCAGACATGGCACCGGTTGGCAAGCCATGCTGTGGTAGGCGTCCCACATATAAAGTAGAGGAAGATGGGCACGGATGTTAGCTCAGGGCCAGTCTTCCTCAGCAAAAGAGGAGGACTGGCAGTGGTTAGCTCAGGGCTAATCTTCCTCAAAAAAAAAAAAAAAAAAAAAAAAGAACTAGAAGGACTTACAACTAGAATATCCAACTACGTACTGGGGCTTTGGGAAGCGGGGGGAGGGAAGAAGACGACTGGCAACAGATGTTAGCTCAGAGCAAATCTTTCCCATCAAAAAAAAAGTAATGCCACGGAAAACGCTTATAATATTACTTTAATGGCAAAAAGCAGAAGCAGCATAAAAGAATAAAAACAAAAATAAAATGTATGTAGATACATGTTTTATAGTAAACATTAAGTACATATACAAAAATTAACAGTTGCTATATCTGAAGTAGTGGCATTACAGATTTTTATTTTCTTCTATATTATATGTAGTATTCAAAATTATTTTTCAAAGAAAATTAAGCCCTCAGTAACTAATTAACAGAAGATGCCAAGAAAACTAACACAGTAGCAATTACATAGTTTGTTGAATGACTATAACATTAAAAAAATTAAATATTAGCTGAACCTATTTTCAAGAAACAGAAAAATGGCTATTTCCTACAATAAACATCCGGTGTACCTACCGTTAGCTGCATCTCACTAGGCTGATTGTCTTCAGTTCCTGCTTCATATTCTGGAACAGACGCAAGACCATATTCTCCAGACACAGGTCTTTTAGCTTCATTTTGAGAAACTGCTGTGTGTAGAAGAATTTTAAAAATTGTAACCCAATCAGTACTTGGTTTTAACTGTAACACTGTTTGTAGTGATTTTCACAAAAGCCCTGAAGAGCAGCCTGAACAGAGGGTGCTGAACATCCAGCGTGTGGCTCCCTTCACCACAAGCTTCTACTGAAACCTCGCAGTGACGGTCTTCGCCGTGCATACCTGGCGACTCTGAGGAGAGCGGCGTGAGGCTGGGGACCCCTCTGAGCCCCGGATGCCTGTCTAGGCTGTGTCAGTAATCTGTGTCCATTTCTTACCCACCAACTCCTACTGGACGGTTCTGCTCTGCTGGGCTCTCCTAGGTCCTCTTATTATCAGTGACTCAATGTAAATACCTAACAAAAATTCAAACTTCAGCAAACAGGGCCTGTTCCTAGAGAGGTCACACTGCTGCCCTAGACTGTGAGACACAAGCATCGTCAGGCACCGCTTTTTAAGCTGGACACGTGCTCAACCCGAAAACATTCTCACCTGTAATTTTAAGTGTTTCTCTCTGCAACGCTCTGGTGACTGGCATTCGCTGGTACCAGTGTCCCACACCTTCAACTTCCCAAAGGAGCTCATGGTCTCCTGGATACTTTTCAAAATACTGCTTGCAAGCTGAAAAACACATTTAGAATTTTCTAGGAACCCCAAATATCAATTGTTTGGGAAAACAAAGAAGACGGAAAGTAAGCTGCAGAACTCACTCGATGGGGTTAGCATAACCTTGACACCAGAAACACCACGGTAACTTGAGAAAAGAAAATTACACATCTGTCTCATTTATGAAGAAAAACCCTAAATAACACTCCAAGTTAAAGTCTTAATGTGACCACTCAATAAAAATCCTAATAAAAGACGTGCTTCACCTTTAAAGAGACAATTACTAAATATTACTGAGGGACATACAAGAATTGAATAAAAGGACTGTTAGACTCAATAGTGTAAAAACATCAATTCTCACCAAATTATTCTGTAAAGTTCATGCTATTTTAAACAAAATCCCAACAGACTTTTTTTGTATTTTTTTTTAAAGACTGGCACCTGGGCTAACAACTCTTGCCATTCTTCCTTTTTTTTTTTTTTAAAGATTTTATTTTTTCCTTTTTCTCCCCAAAGCCCCCCGGTACATAGTTGTGTATTCTTCATTGTGGGTTCTTCTAGTTGTGGCATGTGGGACGCTGCCTCAGCGTGGTCCGACGAGCAGTGCCATGTGCGCGCCCAGGATTCGAACCGACGAAACACTGGGCCGCCTGCAGCGGAGCGCGCGAACTTAACCACTCGGCCACGGGGCCAGCCCTGCCATTCTTCCTTTTTAAGGATTGGCACCTGGACTAACAACTGTTGCCAATCATTCCTGCCCCCGCCCCCCCACCCCCCGCCCCGCCCGTATTTCCCAAAGCCCCTCGCCCCCGGTACATAGTTGTATATCTTAGTTGCAGGTCAACTTTTTTTTTTAAGGCACACTGGCCCTGAGCTAGCATCTGTGGCCAATCTTCCTTTGCCCTCCCTTCTCTCCAGAGCCCCAGCACACAGTCGCACAGCCTACTTCTAAGTCCTCCTAGTTCTTCTGTGCAGGACGCTGCCTCAGCACAGCTTGATGAGCACTGTGTAGGTCCATCCTCAGAATCCAAACAGGCGAACCCCGGCCGCCAAGGTGGAGCACACAAACTTAACCACTATACCATCAGGCCAGCCCCCCAGAGTTTATTTTTTAATGGAACTTGACAAAATTTGATCCCAAATTCAAAATGATAAAACAAAGGGTTAAGAAAAAATATTCAGGCTAATTTTGAAGAAAAAAAAATGAGAAGGACTTATCGTAGCAGATATCAAGAATCATCATAAAGCCACTGTAATAAAAACAACCTGGTATTGACATAGGATATGGAAGAGGAGGAGGAAGAGAAGAAGGGATAGGAAGAAGAAAAATTAAAATACCAGAAAAAACCCCACCAGGAAAGAACTACACATACACCAAAACTTGGCAATTGACAAAGGAAGCATTACATCTCAGCAAAGAATGGATAAACTATTAAAATTACACTAGAATTAGGGCAGCCCCATGGCCTAGTGGTTAAGTTCAACATGCTCCAGTTTGGCAACCTGGGGTTCAGTTCCTGGGCGTGGACCTACACCACTCGTCAGTGGCCATGCTGTGGCAGTGACCCATGTACAAAATAGAGGAAGAATGGCACAGGTGTTAGCTCAGGGCAAATCTTCCTCAGCAAAAAAAAATTTTAAAAAAAGATTCTAGAATAAAAATCCATATAGGAAAAAAATGAAGTCAGATCCTAATCTCAGATCAACATCATTCATAAAAATAAATTCTATGGGCTAACCTGGTGACATAGTGGTTAAGTTTGCGTGCTCTGCTTTGGCAGCCCAGGGTTCATGTGTTCAGATCCTGGGTTCAGACCTACACAGCGCTCATCAAGCCATGTTGTGGCAGTATCCCACATACAAAATAGAAGAAGACTGGCACAGATGTTAGCTCAGGGACAATCTTCCTCACAAAAAAATAAAATAAACTTAAAAAAATAAATAAATTCTAGATGAAGTCTAAGACCTATTATGAAAGGCAAAATTTTTAAAAGAAAACATAAGAGAATACCTCTAGGACCCTGGAGTACTGAAGGATTTCTTACAAAAGATGCAAAAATTACAATCCCTAATGAGATATTATGATAACCCTGACCGTTAAGGTTGAAGACTCTCTATCAGGACTATGCAACAGAACTTTCCACACTGATGGAAATGTCCCACATCAGCAATGTCCAATGCAGGAGCCACTAGCCACATGTGGCTACTGAGGACTCAAACTTAAAACTGTATGTAATTAACTTAAACATATCTAATTTATATTAGTGGCTGCTGTATTGGACTACTTGGTTTTATATTTTAAAAATACCATAAAGACACAGATTAGGAGATACTCTGAATAAAACAAAGGATTAGTATTCTGAGCATGTAAAAAAAAATTCCTAAAATTGAATTAGAAAGACAAAATAATTCCAAAGAAAAAATGGCAGAGGCTATGAACAGGAAATTCACACATAATAAAACCTGATGGTCACTAAAAAAGATAAAGATGATAAATCTCACCAGCTGCCAAGGAAATATAAGATGAAATGACAAGACACCATTTCCAAGCCCATCAGATCATAACACGCATAACACCCTCTGCTGTGTGAGGACAATCCTGCAATGGTTAGCAAGGTCGAAGAGACATATTTTATGATCCAATTCTACTTGCAGGTAATATACCCTCATGACTTACACAAAAGCACAAGATGGCATTTGTAATGCTCATTACAGGACTTTTTAAACTGGGGTGGGGGTACAACCTAAGTGCCCATCACTGGGGGATCTATGAATAAATTATTACATGTGCACAATAAATAATATCCAGCAGTGATAACAAATAAACTACAGCTGCATGTATCTTTACAAAGTCAGTAAAAAAGCAAGTTAGTATATGTACACAATTATGTCCCTTACGAAAAGTTCAAAAACACATTAAACAGAACATGCAGCCTCTGTGGACAACAGCGGCAATTCCTCCAGACGTTAAACACGGAATCATCAGAGAACCCAGCAACTTCACCCTCAAGGACACATCCAACGGAACGGAAAGCAGGGCCCCGCACACCAATGTCCACAGCAGCATCACTCACAACAGCCAAAAGGCAGGAACAACAGCGTCCATCAACTGAGGAGCGGATAAACGAGACGCGATACAGTCACACAACGAAAATCTACTCAGCTGTGAAAATAAATGAAATTCTGATGCATGCTACATGGATGGACCTGCAACATCATGCTAAGTGAAGTCAGACAGACAAAAAAGGACAAATACTCTATGATTCCGCTTACACGAATGAAGTACCTAGAAAAGGCAAATTCATCAAGACAGAGAGCAGGAAGGAAGTTACCAGAGAACAGGGCAAAGGGAAAGGGGGAGTTACTGTTTAAAGGGCACAGAGTTTATGTTGAGGACGACGAAAAAGGTTTGGACATAGATAGCGGTGATGGATACACAGCACTGCGAATGTGACTGACGCCACTGAATTGCACATGTACAAATAGTTAAAATGATATATATGTTATGTACGTTTTATCACAAAAAAACTTTAAAATTTTTTGAATAAAAAAAGCACATTAAATAATGCTTTACAGTATTTATGGACATAGCCACAAGTAGGAAACCATGGGCAGGAAGGATTTACACCGACTGCAGGATGCAATCATCTCTGGGAGGAAAAGAGAATGGGATTATGGAGGGGTCCAAAGAGAAGGTCAACCGTATCTACAATGTTCTATTTAGTTCTCTCTAAAAATAAATGAAAACAAATATGGAAAAATCTTCAATTTGTAGGATACTGGCTACACAGACACTAGGATACTATTTTCTCGGGTTTTTTCCTGCATGTTTGAAAATATTTCTCATGTTTCCTGGCTTTAGTCTTCATACCTATTAGGAAGGGAGAAGGTGGAGAAAATCAACACAACAGGCCACAGTGAGCCCTCTGTCTGAATTAAAAGGACCAACGCAGTAGAGCACGCCTTCCGTAATAAGTCTGAGGCCCAAAGGGAAGAGTTTTTAAAAGGTGACTAGAGTTGAAGGTCCTAATTCAGATGCGTCTCGCCAGAGTCACGGGCAGACGAAGAGAGCTCTCACACTTCCACCACTCAGCCAAGTGGTGGAGAAGGTGCGAGCCCACAGGAAGAGCGCCCGTCAGGTGTGCAGCACTGGCCACTGCTCCCCGGGAAGGGGGGAGGCCTCGTCCACTCGCCGCCATTCCACACACAGCACGAGGAAGTCACTCCGGCCACATGACTCTTCTAAAGCCCGCGCTTTATGGTGTGGACGCTACACCTCTCCACAGACATTCCCCAATGCTAAATGTCTCCAAACTCGTGGGACATTCTTTGCTCATAGAACCTTTTCAGCCCCGTATTGAGCACACTCACTCTGCGCAAAGATCTAGACCGCGTGCTGCTACAGAAGCAATGTTCACAGAGTTGATCCACAAGGAACTCAAAAGCCCAAAGTAGTATTAAAGTGAAAACCCGAAGAAACAGAATATAGGGTAGAAAGTGGTTATGCAGCATAAGAGCGTTACAGGCGAAGAACCACAAGACAGAGGAGGAAGGAGAATTTCTGTCGGGCAGAGACCAGGCCAGGCTTTCCGTCCGGGCCCTAACAAACAGGCAGATGCTGGGAAACTCAAGAAAAGTAACCAGGGAGTTAGTACAAACGTAGTGATGTGGCTGGGAACAAAATGAATACATATGTAAACCAATACCCTTCATGTATATAATTAACCACCAGATAGAAGAAATAATGGAAGAAAACACATTTATAATAGCAACAAAAAAGATAAAATTCCTAAATATATTTTTTCCTAAGTTACCAGTATGGAGAAAACCTAAATGCTAACTGAGCTGAACAAAATCATACAGTTATACATATTATACATACAATTATAATACTGTTGGATAGAAAACAAAGACAATGATAATTTTCCATAAGCTAATATGTAAGTTTAAAAGTGACCCCAATACGAGCACAGATCTACACAGCTCATCGAGCCGCACTGTGGAGGCATCCCACA